TCCTGGAAGCTGGCGAGTTCGCCTCCACTGGCTCCGTGGAGGGGTGGGGGGACCCTCTCAAGGGTCCAGGAACAGACCCTAAGACCCTTTGGAGGCTCACCCTGCCCCCTGTGGGGCCAGAGGGGGCAAAATCGCCACCTTCTAGGACTCTTTTGAGGCTTGGGAAGCTTCAGAAGAGTCCCTGAAGGTGGCGATTCCGCCCCCTCAGGCCCCCCGGGGGGGCAGGGTGAGCCTCCAAAAGGTCCTAGGGTGTGTTCCATGAGATGGACATCTTCATAAGGCTCACCAAATTTTTAGGAGAAGAAAACAGATGATTATTTTCCTGTTTTCTTCTCCTTAGAATTTGGTGCATCTTAGGGAGAGGTGTGTCTTATGCAGCAAAAAATATGGTACTTTTAGTTCCCAAAGAAGGCCCTGAAGAGAATACAGGAGCAAAACATGTCAGGCTTTATCAAAAATAAGAAAACAAAAGAGACTAGAAGATAATTACTGGAATTCTAAGGAACCTCCTCTTAGTTTTATACACGTTCAATGAATGCCTGCCAATTTTAGTGTATTACTTGCCTATTAAGAGACAACTTGCCAAATCCTGTTGATTTGCATATTAAATCATAGTAGACTCATTGAATCACTGGGGACTGAATGAAACAATTCTGCCGTAAATTCCATTGGTTCAAATGGGCCTATTCTAGCTTACTATGCTAACGTCACAGTTAGCGTAGGCCCATTTGAACCAAAGAAAATTACAGAGGAGTTGACTTGCTTAATCCTGTTGACTCAATGGGTTGTCTGGTGTGATTTACTATGCTGAGCAAGAGGATTTGGGCCCAGAGATTTTTAAAACGGAAGTTTTAAAATATTTACTTATTTATTTATTTGGCTTTTATACCACCGATCTAGATAAATCTACTGTGGGTGGTTTACAGTCCAAAAAGTAATAGAATTAAAAATATCAATAAAACAAGCAAACATAATCCAAGATGCAAAAATCAGGGGAAGAAATTAAGTAAATTCAGGTGGGAAGGGCTGCCTGAAGAGCCAGGTCTTCAGTTTATTCTTAAAAACTCCCCCCATGCCTTTGAATATTTGTTTCCTGGCTACTTGAGGATGGAATATAATAAAGAATACTTCCGTTTTCTACCAAGATGTACAACAGGATCGCCTATCCACAGGATCAATATCAACTACCTGAAAATACTAAGCAAAACCCCTCCACCGAAATACATATTTACAGTATATACATTTCCAGGGTGTAGTTACCAGAAGTGGCCCCTAGAGGGAGCAAGAGACCATTGCTTAATACTTCCATGCTTTCAGCATCCGACGTGGGAAGGGACTTGGAACCAATCCTCTGGGGATACCACCGTCCTATTGTACTGTACTTAAGAAAGTTTAAAAGGGCAGATCCCTTGCTGAAATACATGAACTTCCTATTTCCAACAAAATGTGACAGAATTTTTTTCCGTGCCAGTTTTCCATGGACTTCTGACCCCAAAAAGTCACAACCCTGTGGACAGCCCACCTGAAATTCCCTAACCAAACAATTCCTTCTCAGAAAGGTGGATTGAAATGATTGTCAAAGAGGGGGCGTTTGTTCTGATTATGGTCTTATCAAGTCATCATCCTTTCTGCTATGGAGGCTTCCCTATGCAGATTCCCTACTTTAGATTATGCCCTGGCAGCCGCCGTCAGCAGGAAAGCTGATTGAAAGGGGGGCCCCAGGGAAAGCCCTCTGGGAAGGAGCATCTGTTCTCACACGGGAAAAGAAATCGGCCCAAAGGATACTCAGAGAAGTCAAGATGGTGTGCTGTAAGTATCTCAAAGCCATATGCCCCATCATTTAGAAAGGCGATTATCCTCTTGTCTATCAGGGTTCACAGCCAGATAAGAAAATGGGAGAATAAAATGAGGCATGAATGGGAGGGACCAACGATGAGTCTACCTGTAGTGTCCCAGTACGGGAATGTTTTGGCTTTGTAACACACATGCAAGTACAACACGATTGCTGGGTTCTGCCTAAAAGCATTTAGATTTCAGTGTTTGTATCATGAACACCTCCCAGCACCTTCACTTAAAAGAAAAGAAAAGCAACAGTATGTTTTCCTGTGTACATGGGGACTGCCATTAGCTCCCAAATAGACCATCAACATTTGGACACACAAAGAATTGGCTACAGTCCTGTCCTTGGACAACTCATAGAAACAGTGTTCCTTGCATGGTTCTCAAAATATCTGGACAGAGATTATAAATGGACCACAAAACCATTAAAACAAAAAAATTCCTTAAATAGATAATGTTTTGCAAAAAAAGGAGCTAGTGGCATAACTGGAGAACTAAATTTGTAACTTCTTAAATATGTTAAAACATAAGAGAGAAAGTTTCCCTCTCTATCCCCAGAGGGATTCAAAGCACCATAAAATAGGTGGGCCTGCTCGGCAGATAACCTCTTATAAATAAGGTTCAGGAACAGAATTTTGCAAAAGCTCCAGAATTATCCACACACGAGGTACTCTTTAACACGTCATAATCAACAGTTACATAAACGCGGAGCAGGCAAGAGATAATCTGGAAATTAGTAAGTAATGATATCAACAACCATCTTTTATTTCTCATGGATTAAAAATAACTTAAGAGGTTAATAAAAAGTCATCTTCTATAAAAAGATGACAGGCGATCACAGAAATGCAAAATCCAGCCATCAAGCAATATATTTTGTCACTATGATTCTATTAGAGGGTGACGGAAAGCTTCAACAGATAAATGTTACTTTGCAAAGAATCTTTTAACGAGACTGACATCTAGATCATGGTTTCATTATTCTGTCATGCCAGTGAATAGCAAGAGTCTTCTCATTAAGCCTCAGCTATTCTGTCATGCCAGTGAATAGCAAGAGTCCTCTCATTAAGCCTCAAACCTGACACTTTTTTTCCCAGCAAGCACTTTTTTCTTTTAGGCACTGTAACCTCTCTCTTTTCTTCAAATTATCTAAACATTAGTAGTCAGTTTAAAGCACAGCACCAAATTTAAAGGTGAACATTTACAATAGTCCATCTATTTCTCCTGTACACATCAAAACTCTCTACAGTATTTTAAACTCAATCTTCCACTTCTCCATTTAGTTATATCCTTGAAAACCCTTGACTTCTTAACCTGGTACCATCTTTGGGAAGCCACTTACGTACAAGCCTGGACTGGTCTTCCCATACCCTGTCTCAACAGACTGTGACTCAGAGGGCTTGCTTCTAACATTCAGCTAGCCCACAACAGAAATGCTGTGACCTTACTGCAAGAAACAGACAGTTACAATGGGTGATGACTATAATATTCACCTGAATCCGTCTTTCTTCCTCTTCCCTCTTCTTCCTCTCTTCTTCTTCCTGCTTTCTCTTTGCTTCAATCTCATATTTCCTAGAGGGGAAAAATCGTGCTTAAAGACGAACATCAGGAATCTTTATACCTCTTTACTACACCTCTTCACTACCCTACAACTTTCAATTGTTTTTGACCGAGATTTTTGGGTGTTCCAATACAAACCATCTGTATGTCATCACATTATTGATCCCTGAGCATAGATCTTAGAATTGTCCAAGATTTAAAGCTGGAATAAAGGTGCTGGCAATGGTCCCAGCTAACCAGCTGTGTTGTCTTGCATGAGACACAATCTGACCCACATTTTTCCTTGTCTTCTATACAGTGGTGCCTCGCTTAACGATTGCCTAGCTTAATGAGGAAATTGCTTGACGATTAGGTTTTTTCGATCACAGAAGCGGCCGTAAAACAATGGTTAAATGGGAAAACTCCACTTCATGATGATTGGTTCCCTGTCTCGGGAACTGATTTTCGCATTACGATGATCTAAAAACAGCTGATCATCGGGTTTCAGAATGGCTGTCAGGTGTACAAAATGGCCCCCCGCTGTTTTCTAGGATGGATTCCTCACTTTACAGGCAGCGAAAATGGCCACCCCTATGGAGGATCTTCGCTGGATGGTGAGTTTTCAGCCCATTGGAACACACTGAAGGGGGTTCAATGTATTTCAATGGGCTTTTTTATTTCGCTTAATGAGGAATTCGTTCTACAGCGATTTCGCTGGAATGGATTATCCTCGTTAAGCGAAGCACCACTGTACTCAACAATCAGTATCTCACAACTGAGCATGTTCACTGGACTGCTTTGGGTGTGTGTGTGTTCCCTACTCAAAACTGAAGCTGCTTCTTTTTTCTTTCTTTTTTTACTTCTGCAAAGTACAAACTTTGTTCTCCCCAAGTTCATTCTCCTGATATCTCTCCTCACCCCACCTCCTTGAAGACAGTGGACTCAGCATCACAGAAGGTTTACAAACAAAGGTTGGATGGTCATCTGTGTTAGGGATGCTCTAGCTGCACATTTCCTGCATCGGGGGGAGATGGTTTGGATTCCTTCCAGGTCTCTTAATTTTATATCTCTGAGATATCCTGAAAAAGCCATCTGAGCCAGAAATGCCAGATGTGCTAACAAAGTGAAAAGCTCTGCAGTCTAAAAGTACGGCCTGGGTCTTTCAAGATGGAAAAAAAATACTAGCTGTTTCACACCTTCTCTTTGGCCCAGGACTGATAATCTAATGGAATACTCACAGTCGCCTTTCCTCCTCTTCCTTCTTCCGACGTTGCTCCTCTTCGTCACGCCTCTTCCTTTCTTTTTCCATCTCCTCCTGGATACGCCGCAGCCTTTCTGCCTCTTCTTCCTGTTGCTTCTTTTTCTGTAATGAACTCAGAAGCTGTTCTGAGCTTTTGACTAATGCATCGTACTCCTTCTGTATTTGCTGCCTAGGCATTTCGGTGGCCTGCAAGATAAACCAAGAAAGTAGACACAATCAACTGCACAAAGTAGGTATGTGGGGGGGGGGGGAGAATGAGGAGAGCAACAAAACTGCAGAGGAAAAGATCAACAGGAAAAATATGTGTGTACTTATTTGCTGCATGTACCTGCTATAAATGTTTAAGCGCTAAACACTTGTTTGTTTGTTTGTTTGTTTATTTTTTGCTCCAAAACAGAAACTCAGTAAGACATAAAAATGTGGTGGCACCAATGGGCTCAAGCTAACTATCAAATGATAATGTCCAAAGGTAGGCACAGGCTGAAACAATTACTTTATTGGACTACTTCACTTCCAGAACCCAATATATTTAGGAGAGATTATGGAGTTGTAAGCAACATTCCCTCTAATTTTCAGCACCCTTCGCACACGTGACATTGTGACCAGAACCAAAAGTGCTGAAAATGATTGCTGTGGCTGTGCAGAGCAGGAGGGGGACAGAGTCCCACAAGCGTGCATTTTAGAAGGAACCTCGGTCATAACCCAAAAAGTAACATTGCCAAGCTCTTAATATAGTCCTGGTGACACTCTCGACTACGAACAGGATATATATTTTAATTGTTTAATAAGAGTTATTAACGACCAAGGCCAAAGATCATCCATACAACAGCTTTCCCAGTTACTGTGTTAAAACTGGACTATGAAGAAAGCTGACAGGAAAACAGTCATTCAAAATGTGGCGTTGGTGGAAATTTTATTGCTTTAAGGAAGCAATAGATTGCTGCAAAGGACAATCAAGTGGGTTCCAAAATCAAATCAAGACAGAATTCTAACTTAACAGCAAAAATGACTAAACACAGGCTATTTATTTATTTGTTGGATTTATACCCCGTACCATCTTTCAACCAGGCCACTCTGGGCAGCTAACAATGAGATAAACAGCACAATATCAAAACACAATGATTAAAAAATAATAATACACACATTCAAATATAATAACCAGCAGGAAAAATTAAAATAGATGGCAATGAAGGTGGTTAAAAGGATGATGAAAAGGATGGTAAAAAGGATGGCAAAAAGGATGGCAAAAGGGAGGCTGAGATCTCAAAAACCTAATGCTCAGGGGGTGGGTCTTTCTGCTTTAAAAGAGTGTGTCCCAGGACCCTGGACTCTTTTCCCTAGGAAGCTGGGCTGAGGGTGAAGGCCAGGTATGTTTGCATGGACGTTTTGCTGAGGTTTTTTTTTCCTGGGCTTTCTTTTTGTCTCCTCACCGCATGGCCTGGAGGTTGGGGCCTAGGGGGTGGGACTTCCTGCTTTAAAAGAGTGTGTCCTCAAATCCTCTGATTCTCTCTCTGGCCTTAATATGTTAAATAGGAAAGTCAGATTTGCATACACCTGGGAGGCAGGAAAGTTTTAAGGGTCAGATCATACTTTCACACTATTAAAGAGCAGGCCAGGTAGGTGGGGCTCGTCAGCCACGGAAGGCAGCCCACCTAGGAGAAGGAAAACTCCAATTTCAAACCTCCACTGCCTTGTGGCTATATCCACTCATGGAAAAGGCTTCAGGAGTTAACCTAGAGGTAAAATCCGGAGCTCGAGTCCCAAAGGCAGTTCATGTCGATCTGCCAACTCCTGTGACGTTGCTGGAACCAGTTATATTGGCTCTTGCCTTTCTATTGGACCATTTCAGCAACATGGAGAGGGGGCATCTGCTGGTTGGGTAGCAGTCTACCCTCCATATTACTTTACCCAGGCTTCATGCTCTGGAGAGGACACTCCTCGATTCAGAGCATGTTACCATAGTCTCTCGAGACTGAAGGATGCCTATGCAATGCTCAGGGAGATCCTGACTTAGGACCTATCCTAACTATCATGACTTAAGACCTATCTTAATTTGACTCAGGACCTATCATAACATGGTAGGACAGATGGGAAAATATCAGGAAAAGTGAAAGGCAGCACGAAAAGAGGAAGAACTAACATGAGAGGGATTGATTCAAGAAAGGAAGCCAAATCCTCTAAACTGTAAGACCTGAGCAGGGCTGCCAATGATGGAACCTTAAGGATGTCGTTAATTCACAGTGGGTTTCTTTTAAATTAAAATTAAAAATAAATTAATAGACTCACCATATGTTGGAAACAACCCAACAGCACATAACAACAACAAAAGGGCAGGAATTAGAGAATGTTTGGACAGAAATAAGGGCAGATAGCCATGAACAGCCTATCAACTGATACTCAAAATCAACCCTGATCAAGTGGAAATGCCAGTTGCGAATCAAAGAAGGAGAATGGGAGTGGGTGAGGCTGGTTATGTGGGCAATGGAGGAGGATAAAGGGGAAGTTATGTCACTTAGGCCAGCAGCTAGTGGAGAGGCAAGGAAAGCAGGGAGAGGGGACAGGGAACTTCAGTATTGATTCTTTCTGGAGTTCATTTTATTTATTTATTTATTTATTTATTTAATTTATATGCCGCCCACTCTACCCAAAGGTCTCTGGGCGGCTCACAACAACCAAAATTCAATGCAGTAAAACAAAATGATTAAAATACAGTTAAAATACAATTAAAATACAATTAAAAAATACAATTAAAATTGCCATCATTAAGACCCACAGTTAATGTTATTTCAATTAAAAGCCTTCTGGAACAGGAAGGTTTTGACCTGGCGCCGAAATATCATCAGTGTCGGCGCCAGGCGAATTTCAGTTGGGAGGGCGTTCCATAGTCTGGGGGCAGCTGCCGAGAAGGCCCTTTGTCTACAAGCCATCCCTCTTACCTCCTTGAGGGATGGCTCTTTCAAAAGGGCCCCCTGGCTAGATCTTAATAGCCGGGTAGGCTCATATGGAAGGAGGCGGTCCTTCAAGTATCCAGGGCCCAAGCCGTTTAGGGCTTTATATGTCAAAACAAGTTCATGTATGTTCAGGATACCTTCTGTTATTATATGGAGCTACCTGCATATTTCTTATTTACTCAAAATATTTTGACTGACTGGAGCTCACAAGATTCCTGTGTTCTGAACACCTATAGGATTTGATCATCCACCATTAATAACATACTTAGTGACATGAGACTTGTTTAGCATGTGGCATAGGCATGCCAACTCACACAGAAAGAGAGTGAAGAAATATAAAGGACAGTAATATCCTTTGTTGCCCCACTAGATAAGACACACTGCATTGCCTTTTCACAAGGACTCAAGATAAAGGGTGAAATCATTGTACCACTGTCTGTTATATAAGGTTGGACAGATAGAGTTCTGTACGCTAAATATTAGAAAATCTCAAGGATACCAAAGTTTTAATCATGGGAATTTCCATGCAAAGGCCAAACCAACTGATTATTTAAAGCTTAAGGGAAACAAGCAGAAATAAGACTGATTTATTAGCAAAGTCCATTTATTAATTTTTGTAATTTAATGTTGCAATTCTAGCATACTTACAAAGATTAAACTCTCCAGAAGAAGGCAGGATTTATTTCCAAGTGAATGTGTGAAGAAGGATTATGCTGTTCTCTTGCCAATTCAGCCAATTTTGTTTGTTTACAGCTTTATCGTGTAAATATGTCTTTAGACTGTTATATCTGGTTAATTTTTAAAAACCTCCTGAGAAACAGTGGATTATTTTGTACTACCCTCTGAGGAGATTCTCTCCTGCTTCTGCAAGGCTTTTTAAGGAGTCCCAGTCTTCTCTTCCAAGCATCACTGGACAAAGACATTTGATCTTTTTACCTGTTTTTATCTGGTTTCCTTTCAAAACTTTAAAAAAATAATTAAATGTTGAAGCATTATAAAGTAAAGGCTGGACCCAGCTGCAAATGCTGTGTCAGAGACTGCAAGCTACTGTCTCGCACAGCGGATTTTACTGTATGGGATACAGAAGTGACTATCCCTTCCATATTTCCTTAAAGCTACCCCTCTACTTATTCTATGCTAGCCTAACTTTTAATACCAAAGTCCAGGCTACTATGCAATAGTGAAAAGAGTAAACATTATATAAAAGTGATGCTATTTAACAATTAAAACTTGTTTTCAGGAGTCTGCATATGCTTAAAATCCCCTGAACATGCAGCAGCATTTCATTTACAAAACAAGTCATCTATCACCCTGGTGGCAAATATGTAATTGACAGCGTGTGAGGACAACGCTGAGATTTCATAAGCTAATGAGGTTCTTTACTACAATGTTCAGTAGTGTGTGTGTGTTGTGGGGGGGAGCTAAACTTACATCCTTAACCATTCCATGATTAAGAAAACCTGAACACGCTATTCAAAAGTAAGGAATGTACAAAGTTATGGAACACAAAAATAAACATAAAATTTTGCCTAATTTACACTTTTTCTCCATAGGACATAGGTAAAGGTTCCCCTTGACATTTAGTCCCATCGTGTCCGAAAAGGCGCGGTGCTCATCCCCGTTTCCAAACCGTAGAGCCAGCGTTTGTCCGTAGACAGTTTCCGTGGTCACATGGCAGCGCGACTAGACACGGAATGCCGTTACCTTCCCACTGATGTGGTACCTATTTATCTACTAGCATTGGCAGGAGCTGGGACAAGCGATGGGAGCTCACTCCGCCGCATGGATTCAATCTTACAACTGCTGGTCTTCTGACCTTGCAGCACAGAGGCTTCTGCGGTTTAACCTGCAGTGCCACCACGTCCCTTTTCCATAGGACATAACATTCATTTTTTTCAACAACACTAAATTAGAACTGTTTATTCTATTTTAACTGTTTTAATAAGGAACACAAATAAGCTGGCTTATTTTCAACTTGGTTTCAACAGTGTGAACTGAAGTGATTTAAATAGAGTAGACCTTTGGTCTAGATGAGTGAGATAGATAGATAGATAGATAGATTGATAGATAGACAGACAGACAGACAGACAGACCGAGAGACAGACAGACAGACAGACAGACCGAGAGACAGACAGACAGACAGACAGACCGAGAGACAGACAGACAGACAGACAGACCGAGAGACAGACAGACAGACAGACAGACCGAGAGACAGACAGACAGACAGACAGACCGAGAGACAGACAGACAGACAGACAGAAAATCTGTTCAAGATCCTAACATAAAGGGTTCATAGAACATAATAGCCAGATTCTTCCTGGTGTTCACATACTCTGTGTGATTGCTGTGGATAATTCTGAGTCACTGATAAGTGGTCAGGACATGTCACTGTCATGTGCCTGATAATGCATTCAACTGAGCAATGAGTCCCATGACCTTATCTACTAGCTACACTTTGCATGCCAATTTATACCAACAGGATTTCGGCTTGTTTTTCCTCTTGATAAAGGGAATGGCATCTTACCTTGATCTTGACCATCAAAGCATCAATAGACAATTCAAGTTCCTTAACTTGATTGCTCATTTCTGGTTTTCCCTCTTTCAGAGCACTCACTACTTCATTGAATTTGTCTAGCCTCTTCTTCAGTGTGCGAACCTTGATTAGGCCATCTATGCTGTGAAAGGAATATTTCTTTCAGTTTCAGACAGTTTTCTGCATTCAAGAGACAGTCAATATGGATTGAAATCTTATCCTATGCCCTCTTAACCACCTGCAAACCCACCGGATCCTGACGTAGAAAGTACAGCATGCTAAAAGGCAGAGCAAAATTACCATGTTTTAGTTTCCCCAACAAACAGGGACTTGCGATGGAAAGGATGTAGAGCAAGAAATGAGCAAGCAGCTTTAAAAGCTCCCTCAAGGCTTTTCTAATCTAATGCACCAGGGGAAAAAAACATGTTCAGGAATAGTTGCTCTTCCTGCTTAAGATCACTGCAGGTACACAGGTCTCTGTGTGTAATAGATCTTTTAAGAGAAATACTTTAGAGTTAATCTGTACCACAGAGTGGATGTGCTTGTCTTTCCCTGCTTCCTAATCTTTGTGATAATAGCACATCACGCAGCTGTTTACATATACAATGTGGGCATGCCATTGGCCGAGCTATCAAACTAACCAGACGAGAAGAACAGGGGCACCCTCAGTCTGTTCAATGAAATGGACTGGACTTCAATGAAAATATCACTCAAGCCAGCCCAGAGAATACTAAGAATCGGCAAAAGGTAAACAAGGTGCAAAAGGAGCAGAATTCAAGTTTCTCCTTCTTCGAAGGAATTCTGAAAGAATGCAATTTGCATCAGCCTTGGGATGATACCAGTTACAGTCCAACGGCATCAACAAGGCCACACATTCTCCACCCTTGCTTTAGGATAAGTAGAAGGAACATGGACATGCTGGAAGATACACCCGGTTTTAAGTGTCTTAAGGACCTGGACACAATATGCAGACTTTACCAGCATCAAGAGTACAGATTTATGGATGGACAAATTTAGGATGGGGTTGCAAGCATTTATAGTTCTCCTCTTCTCCCTACCGTGGTTTATGTTTTCTCCTGCACAGCCACATACGAATCGTCTTTTGTATTTTAATGCAGGCAGTGGCTCTGTATTTTATCTTGTTTTTCACTGTGGAACAGAAGAAAGAAATGGAGGCCCCCTCAGAAATGAACAGTTGCACATGTCTAAATTCATAATATGCATTAAAAATGGAATAGGAAGAGCAGATGACAAAAGATTATTTTACGTACAACTCACCAAACACTTTTAATATATACGTACTAATGTATATATTGGAAACATGTGGCCCCCACGCCTCTAATTTACACTGTAAGTTACTTTATAAATTAGAGTCAAATTTGTGGGTCTCACCAATATCAACTGAGTCAAATCTGTGGGTCTCACTGACATCAAGTACAATTACATTGTAAATTAGAGTCAAATTTGTGGGTCTCACCAACATCAAAGCAATCACAAAAGTCCCCTCTCACATCTTTCCTTCCTATTATTTAACAAGAAAAATAACTACAGAACAGTCTAGTCTCTTCTACACCACAGACACAAGTTACAGTTGCTGTACATTTGAGGCAGAGGAAAATCTGGTGGCAATGATAAAATTACAGTACACTTATTTTGCTAGCTGTAGGAAATCCAGCAGTGGCATGGTTCCAATGATTTTCCTAGAGCCAACCTAACCCTCCAACCCAGGCTCGTTGCCTATCCCTGTACCAATGGATGGCTTCCCCTATTTGCAATTAAGATCTAGGAGTTGCAATAACTCTCTCACAAGCGGCCTTCATAATGTTGTAATTTTACTATTGTTTTATTCTGTTTGTTGTGAGTCGCCCAGAGTAAACATTGTCTAGATGGGCGGCATATAAGTCAAATGAATGAATGAATGAATGAATGAATGAATGAATGAATGAATGAATGAATGAATAAATAAATAAATAATTCTCATCAGCTCTTCCCAGGAAGGGGCAATGGGAGCTGCAGCTCAACATCTTCTGGAGGGTGACACATACCTCTCCTCTTTATTGGGTAAATATAGACAGCTTTCAGTACTTTTTCTCAAGAGATTCCCCTACACATACACACACACACACAGAGAGAGAGAGAGAGAGAGAGAGAGAAAGAAGATTCCCAGATACATACATTTAATAACCGACAGCGAACACCACTGAACCTTCTTCCAACGACTGCAAATTAGCCAATGGTTGACTCGTTTAACCAATTCAGCCAGATGATCTGGATCTGATTTCATGATCTGATCAAACTCTGCGAACTGAAAATGGAAATCAGTATCACACAAGGGAAGGACATTCAGAAGACAACCTCCCTTGGAACTTTGGGGGCTGCACAGCTCTGCCAGAAACAGAATGTTGTCACCCTGACAACATTGTGTGGTGGCCACACAGGCTGACAGTAAGCTTCTGAGCAATATTCAAGGTGCTGGGTTTGACTTTTAAAGCCAGTCTAGAGTCAGGTTATATGCATTTCCTGTATGAGGTATATAACCTCCTCCCAATCTGATGGTACAGCAGGAATCTCTGCTCCAGTTCTATGCTAGGTGGTGGGTATACCACTAGAGCGGTAAACCAGGGATTCTACGCTCAAAGTCTTGGTAAGCTCCATAAGAAAAATGCAGGGTCAAACTAGGCAGTATGTTTAGCACATTTTGGAAGAGGCGCTCCCTCAAGTGATGAAAGATGTCTGTTTGTCCTAGGACATAATTTTCCTCGCACAAGTATCTCTCTCTTAGGTCTTGCTTTCAAACACTGCTTTGATTTGCCTTTGGCTATGGGAAGGGCCTGGCATGCTCTGGTCCATGGGGTCACGAAGAGTCGGATACAACTTAACGACTAAACAACAATGGAAAGGTTAAAATGGAATCTTCCTGGTATTAACTTCTGCAGCACAATCCCACAGTGAGAGAAAAGTAGGTGAATGTTTGAAAGGGAAAACAGATTAACTGCAGACCATCCCATTTCCTGTACCAATTTGTTTGACTTTAAACCTCTCACCTAGCTTTCAGGGAAAGAAGAAAGTCCCATTTATTTATAAATATTTTTGCCATAGGTGGCTATATAAATTAGGGTGGGGGATTTCAGCACTGCCCCAATTTTCTACCTTTTTTTCTGTGACGGAGAGATATGCCTTTATTCCTCCGTAAGCTACCCTAAGCATGGAGAGAGTTGTGACTGAAATATTTTAAATCAAGAGATACTTAAAATACGTTGGGGCCCTTCCAATAAGCATATCTGCATCAGCAAAAGAGAAGAGATTAAACTGAGCTTTCTTATAACACAACTGCAAAAAGCAGTACTGTCTTAGTTATCGGTTAGTTTGCAAAAAGGATGGAAAGAAGAAAATTCAGCATTTTAGTTGACGGCCGTTAGCTCTTCTTGGGTAATAGTGACACTTACCTTGCCAGGTCTAAAGAACACTTTGGTTAATCCAAATTTATAATCATTTTCATTTAGCCCAAGAGCTTTGAAGAGTGCCTAAGAGAAAAGATAAATATTTTGGTGGAAAAATACATTTGTGGGAAAAACAAAGATATTAATAGTAATTCATTTTGCTATATAACAAAGTACTCTGTGCCATCAAGTGGGAACTGACTTGTAGCAACCCTAATAGGGCTTTCAAGGTAAGTGAGATATTTAAGGAGTTGTTTTACGAGTTCCACTCCCCCCAGTGAGTGTCCATGGCTGAGCGGGCATTCGAACCCTGTTCTCCAGAGTCCTAGTCCACTACACCACACTGGGAATCCCATAACATACAAAAAGGAGCATATGAAACCTTTGTAGACTTCAATACCTTGCAGAAGAGTCTAGGATCCAACCGGGTCAGCTTTGGAGGCATATACTTTTTGTACATGTTGTACAGCTCATGGAATGAAGCTCGGGATGGGAAGCCACCCTGCATCAAATCCAAAACGGAAACCATACCTAGAGTAAGAGATATGGGAAAATAAGTCACCCCTATTTTGGTGGAAGAGACAACTGTCACCTTCTCAGTGCTTTGGAGAAGTGTTCCTTTCAATCCTAGATGAAAGAAAACACACATATTCTTACAAATCCTGCAGCTTCATTTGGATACACAGCAATTGCCTGAGGAGCCCTCACAGAGCGTGATGGCTAGGCCTCCCCACCTTGACCTAATTTGTCATACTAACTAACCATGACACTATTAATGGCCCTGTTTTTGTACAGATTCGCAACATAATCAGATTACACTGAAGAGATGCTGTTCAGCTCTAGCCACTAGACCAGTCCATGGGAGACATTAGGTCCCTACTCAAGTACCCCCATTCTTCCCCAGAATATTTGGTAGAAAGGAGGGAACTGCCACTCCTAGGAGCAGTGATTAACCTTTAAAACAAGACAGTGTCCTTTCTGTTTCCTTGTTCTACAAAAAGGAGACTATACTATTTTCTGTATATGTGGCATTTTTTAAAAAACATCAAAAAAACAAAGTGGGCATCCAGTTACTTCCAGTTTCACTTTTCAAAGCTTGCATGGCCTGTAGTGGGTCCAGGGGCAAAAAATGGCCCTTGAATCCACTGTGCTTGAGCATGGCTTCTCCAGGGCCTTTCCACCAGAAAAAAAGAAAGACACATATCATCATTTTATTCCAAAGCCAGAGTGTCAACACTCCCATGACCAACAACACAACAAGGGGCAGAGTATCCAACAAATGTGACAATGTATAACTGTATGAAAATTGTCATTCGGGGCCAAACTGTACATTATAAGTTATTTGTTATTAGAAAGGAAACCATGTTAGTATTCAAAAGACATAATTGAGGCAGTTTTTCAAATCTGAGAAATTAGTAAATATGAAATACTTGTGCTATTTTCATTTCTCACTGCTTAAAAGGCCATATTAATAAGCTCTTTATTTTTAGCATTCTTTTACTGCTAAGGGGTGGGGCTTTTTAAAAGTATCATAAGCTTATTTCTTAACTAGAAGATAAGAACAGGGGCCCATAAAACAAAACCATGACTCATGAGTAAGTCAGAAAAGGAGTTTCATTACTTCCTGCTTGCCTCTCTCACCACACTGCCAAAAGCAATCAGCCTTCAGATTACCAGCCAAAACTGGTGTCAATAGAACCCTAATTAAAGCAGAGTTGTTAAGCGTTTGTGACTGATCTGCTAAATTAAACTTTAAATGTGACTTGACATGAACAGCATTAGGGACGTTTGCCAAGACGAACCAGATGCTTAAAGCCTCAGGGCCCTCTGGCATGCTAAATTTACCAAGAAATTAAAGGAAAATCCAAAGTGGCAGCTAATAAAAACTAGAAATAAGGCTTATTTCAGAACACATTAAAATAAACTGAATTAGTTCTGCACTCCAAATTTCTGAGATTCACCTCTGTCATGATTAGCTGTCATGTTGCAGCCTTTTTTTTTTACAACACATTCTCCTCACTGCTACTCAAAAGTCACCTAGGAGAGGCTGCTAAGAACACTTTGCCCATGCATCCAGAGATGGGCAAAGCAATTTTAACCACAAAATAGCTACACCACTGGGAGAAGAAGGGATGAGGTAGATCTGTGATATGCCTCAGCTCCAGCTGGGAGTGAGAAAAATACCTCTCCTCCCTGAGCCCAGTTTTCATCTCTGCAATTTTCATTAAATGCTTCTAGTTTCCCTTCCCTGTAAGGAATAAAGCATACGTACATATGTGCATATACACTCACACTCACACACACATAACACAAAGAAGAATTAGACTGCTGTTAAGAAAGATGCCCACAACCCACCTACTTCTTCCAACTCTTACATAAAGCAGGAATGCTCCAAGTCCCAACATTTACACCTGCCAGAATAGCACCAACAACATAGGTTTTAGAAGTGGAGTTCTGTAAATTAAGAGATTGGTGTAGGTATCTCTTATTGCACACCTGCGTATAACAGAAGTGATAGATGCCTATTGGCTAGTTTGGGGGGATGAAACTCTGGATGGCTGAGTGCTGTTACCATTTTCTTATTGCACACCAACTGTGTGACTTAATGTGCAGTAGGAATGGCACAAATATTCTTCTCACCTATGCCGGACCTCTTATTAAAAGTCCCAGGGAACATATTGCTATCCTCATTTCTGAGGAAAAGAATGTTGCCGTTTCTTCTCCTTTTACCATGAGGATGAATCAACCAAGGCCTTATATTCCAGTGAACTGGGCAGTGATTGGTTTGAAAGACTATATTAGGGACTGGGCATTAGAATAGCATAAGGCAGTGGTTCTTAACCTTTTTGAAAGAAACGCCCCCTTGAACAGAGGGCAAAATGCTGGGACAGTGTCATCAAACCTAATAACATGAATTTGACCAAACTTTGGGAGGAAGTGGAAGACAGGAGGGCCTGGCATGCTCAGTCCATGATGTCAAGACGAGTCGGACACGACTTAACAACTAAACAACAACAAAGCAAGCCCTAAGAGAAAAAGGCAATGCATCACCCTAAAACAGTTGCAGGATTAAGGAATGCTATTTCATTCCTTCCTCTCTCCCTCCATTCCTCTTTTCAAATGGTTTCCCTCAATAATATTCTTTAGTCATTGTCCAGACTTATGACAGAACCGCCCCTTTTCGTTCTACCGCCCCCCTGAAAAATGAAATCGCCCCCTGGGGGGCATTATCGCCCATGTTAAGAACCACTGGTATAAGGAATACTTGGTGTGCAATTCCCATGAATCATAGTCAGTCAGACTGCACCTCTGCCTTTTTCTGCCTCATGAGACGTGCCCTCTGCTTCTCTACACCTCTGGTTTAGTATTCCATCCTTACATCAAAATAAGGGGCTTCTGGTCTGCTCTTTCAACACAGATTTTCAGAGGTAGGTGGAGAGCCAAAACAAACCGCAATTATTACTTTTTAAAGAAAGTTGATGGAGGCAAGACTTTACCAGAATGTAGGATCTCCCCTCTCTGTCTATGAACAATGGCTGTTCTCATCTTGTTCATTTTTTCCCCTTCACTGGATCCATGAAATATCAGCACCATCAGTAAAGACCTTACAGGCTGTGCTTATATCCTTACCCTTACCCGACTCAGAGCCACAAGAAGACACCATTGTGATACCTTTCACTTTTAGCGGAATAAAACTGCACAGCCAGAAACCTTTCATGGTAGCACCGTCCCTAGTACTTCACAAAGAGATGCCATGCTGATGCTTGTCCATAGGAGCTACATAATAGGGTACCCACGGTGAAATAATTAAAGCTAAGTCCAGTATTTCCAATAATGGAGAAAGCAATACAAAAAAAAGGAGACTTCAAAGAACCTCAGGGGGTGCCAATGCAATGCTTTGTTCCTAATCAAATGATGTATTCATGTTCTTATGTTCAGAATTTTTCAATTTAAAGTTCCTTTTCACTGCACACATAATTTTCTGAAGTACACAGGATGCCAAAGTTTTCCTTTCTTTTTATATTTAACAGCTTCGTGGAAAACAAGGGTTCAGTAGCTGAAGTCTACTGCCTAAAATTCTGTTAATGAAGAATCAGTCCTGTCTGCTGCTTACTGTTATGCATAGTAATCCCACGGCTTTGACAGAACATGGACAAAATTAAAAACAATCAGATGCTCCCAATTAACAAACTTGTGCCTAAGGGACTGCTGCTTCACCGGGGTGTGAAACCTTTCATGCCCGTTCCAACACTGTCACTCAGACACTGAGCTAACAGCATCCCATTACCTGAACACTGGAGTTGAGAGAGGATCTGGGCGCCTTCAAAATGGTGACTTGTCATCTTTAAATTAGGCTTGATACAGCGAATAAAACTAGACCCCTAATGGAAAGACAGCAGGTTATTATCGCCATAAAAATATTTGGGAATCACTTAAGAGCTAAATAAGGGATACAGGTGATTCAGGCTTCATCTCCATGTGAATTCTGGCAGCTGGTGTGGAGGGCCAAGCTGTCCATTAAAGCCACAGCTTGTCATTTAGGTCACTGAAATGCCAGCATTTAGAAACAATACATGCACCTGCTATTTTATCATGATAGTGCATTTGAATAGTTTCTCCGCTGCAAGGACGAGGAGGAGGAAAGAGAAGAAGGAGAGGAGGACAAGAAAGAGGAAGAAGAAGAGGAGGAAGGAGAATGAGGAGGAGAAGGAGATGAATGTCAAAATACTATCCAAAAGTCTGCAGGACATTGATTACTCCTCTGGAATATTATTTTCCCATTTCCCAAGATTTCATCTGATTCTGAAATGCATATTAAGCAAGAGAAACATGGGCATGCTTAAATATAGCATTTGTTTTTTTTTTTACTTCATTTGTTCAGCATTATTAGAAGAGTAATAGGCATTGTCATATGTTCCATTCCAGATATACTGTATTGGAGTGGCTGCTTGAATTGAAACACTTCTGGCTGCTGACTGAAAGAGACCTCAAATCACGCTAAACCATCTGTTCCAAGGCCTGCACAGATTCAATAGAACACATCCTGTTCAGTCTCATGAATGAACTGGCCAGGCAACTGTTTCCAAAAGGACTATGTAAAAATAAATAAATCCTTAAATGAATACTTGGCCATTGTGAATGCTACATACACCATTGCCAAGCTGAAGATGCTAGTACCATTAATTCACGAAGAGGCTATCACATTTTTAAGGAAGTGTATGCTAGGCCATTAGCAGCTAGAACAGTTGAGAGGGATCACAGAACATTCATGTTGCAGCAAAGACCAACTTATTAGGAAATCCAGCTTTACATTTATTATTAACTTTGTGATGAACTGCTGCACATCTGTTTTCTGTACTGAAAGACAAATAAATGGGAACGGAAAGCAGAAAGCACTGAATCTGCATGAATATTTACTTACAGTACTACGAAGCTTTTCCAGCAGTAGGTTTAGCTGGGTCTGTAAAAGCAAAAACATCTGCATCAATAAGGAGAACTCAAAATTAAGCACACAGCAGGACACATCAGTAGTTGCATGCAACAGTCAGTACAAGATCTCTGCACACAGAAAGAGTTGTTTAAGTGAAGTTCCAAAGGCAAACATGCACCGAGGGTGTCAACAGCCTCAATAGTAGCAGATGATTTCCCTGGGCTGAACAACACTTGTCTTCCCAAGACAAAAGAAGTAGATCATTTGGTGATGCAGTCGTTAGAGTGCTGGTCCCAGACTGGTTAAAACCCTCACTCAACTAGGAAGTTCTGTAGACAACCTTAGAATAGTCACCCTCTCTCGGTCTAACGTAACTCACAGGATTGCTGTGAGGACAAAAAAATAAAGAGGTCCATTTTTGGTCCTATACGTTCTTAGGAGAAAAAGCAGGATACAACTTTAACAAACAAAGAGGATATCAGGGAAGAATTCAGGAAGATATGGAAGCTAAAGCCCACTTTGGACACAGGCAGAGAGTTCATCATGTGATCAAGCTGTGAAGGGATGAAAGGGGGCAAAGAGAAGACTTGCACCAAAACAGCTAGTGCATCATACACATAATAAGGCACCCTCCAGATGTGTGGGGCCACAATTCCCATTATCACTAGCAATCATGGCCAGTGAAAGCTGCCAGAACAAAACAGACTAGAATATGAAGACAGAACCCTTTCCCCTAATAAACAGAGAAAGGAAGCAATATTTTATGGAGTGTTGTTTCCCAAGTAAGTCCTCTCAGTAATTAAAATAACATCCAACTAAAGTCCTGAGGAGTTCTCCTTGCAAGTAAGATGTGGACTGTGAGAGCAGGTATACATATTGCCATTGTGGTGCCTGCTGCACATCTTCCATCTCTCTCTGTGTGTGTCTGTATTTCTCCTGAACCAGTTCAAGGTTCACTCAGCCTTCCACCCTCCTGAGGTCAATAAATTGAGCACCCAGCTCACTTGGGGAGGGGGGAGGCAATATGCAACTTATACAATTTAATTACATTAAATTGTAAACCGCCACAGAGTGCTTTAAGCATGCTTCTGCTTTACTTCAGGCAGTTAAAACTTATGCATTCTGTCAAACCTCCAATGAAAACAGAGATTTGGGAGCCTCCATTGCCAATTCTCGATTTTATAAATGGGGAGGGTATTTTTGAACAAGCTATTTTTCCATGTTTGTTTGTTGTTCAAGAAAAATGCATGCATAGCTTGACCAATGACAGAAAGGGAAAACACCATAACTATATTTAGGGTCGTTTTTATGTGCAAGGAACTTTATTTTTTTATTTAAAATATTTTTATCCCCCCCTTTCTCCTTAAACAGCTCAAAGGTAGCTTACAATAATTAAAAGACAATATTTAAAAGCTAAAAACAAGGGATTTTTCTTGCTTAGATGCAGGAATATTTAAAAATTCAAACATTCATTATCCTACCCTACAAAGCGCAACAGTCAACTTACTGCCCAAGAGCTGTTTTGTCATATGGCAAGCTATTTGTCTAGATTAAACAATCAGACCTATCTCCATCTTCAGAAGGATGGGAACTTTTGTAATTAAGAATCTACCACAAGCCCCTGACTTCCCCCCTTTCATCATATGCCAAAGCCTACATTAGAAGCTCTTTGGGAAGAGCTTTTTGTTTTCCTTCTATACTATTTTGTAAAATATTAACTCGTCTGAAGAAAGAAAGAAAGAAAGAAAGAAAGAAAGAAAGAAAGAAAGAAAGAAACGTCTGAAGAAAGAAAGAAAGAAAGAAAGAAAGAAAGAAAGAAAGAAAGAAAGAAAGAAAGAAAGAAAGAAAGAAAGAACTAGTAATCTTCATCACTGTGTTCTCCTGAAGGCACCTACATACTTTTTCTGCTTGAGAATAAGACCTCCTCTTTGGAACTATTTTTCCCATTTGAACACTGAGAAAGCTGCTTTATACCAGATCAAACCACTGTTGAATCTAGCACACCTAGTCTCTGCTGCCCAGCAGAAATTCTACATAGTTTCAGGGAGGAATTTTTGCAGCTCTGCATGTTGAAGCTGGGGACTCAACCTGGGAACAAGTGCTCTGCAACTGAGCTACAGGCTTTCCCAAATCCTCTGTGTAGACATATTCATGATACAGGTAATTAACACAGGAACTGATAAAGAGATCAGCAGAGAAATGGACACCCTGCTGTGCCACAGAGATACCATCCCAACATTACACAGAGACGATATTGGAATTCTGACTGACAATTATAGCAGTTTGATAAAGAATGAGTCCACAAAGGGGATACATTTACCTGCAGCCCTCCGTTTTGCCTCTGCCTGTTTTTCCTCTCAACTTCCCTATAGCTCCCTCCAGCCACATCCTGAGCTGGTAAAAGCCAACTAAAATAAAAAACTGATGAATGGGGAAAGGAAGCAGAAAAACAGAGAAGGCTTAACATATGAAGAACAGAAGGTATAGTGGTCAGATTTTACAGCTCAGAACAAAAGGAATTAATTAGGAAAAGCATCAGATACTACATTTGGTTGAAAGGAGAAAAAGGAAATGCCAAAAACTCTTGGAAAGTTTTCTTTGGTCCAAGCCAATAAGTAAAACCATTCACCCAAAGTTTTATTTGTGCAAAGCCATTAATATATGTAATAGGTTTGAAAAAATTATAATACTTTACATTCAGAGGTACTACTTTATGTCTAAGCGGAACATTCACAGTGAGTCAACTGAAAGCCTTCCTTGAAAAACACAAATTCAAATTGTAAATCAGAAAAGTAAAGCCTTTCTGAGGTGAAAACATCCTTAGCTTGCCTTTGATTTTTGTTAAAGTGGTTTCAGCACCTGTAATTAATGCATTTGGTGTTAGCTAGAACAGATTAAGGTAAAGGTAAAAGTTCAACTTGACATTTAACCCAGTTGTGTCCAACTTTACGGGGCGGTGCTCATCCCCATTTCCAAGCCATAGAGCCAGTGTTTGTCCGTAGACAGTTTCTGTGGTCACGTGACCAGCACGACTAGACACAGAGCGCTGTTACCTTCCCACTGTGATGGTACCTATTTATCTCCTCGCATTTGCATGCTTTCGAACTGTTAGGTTGGTAGGGGCTAGGACAAGTGACAGGAGCTCACTCCATCACGTAGATTCTATCTTACGGCTGCTAGTCTTCTGACCTTGCAGCACAGAGGCTTCTGCGGTTTAACCCACAGCGCCACCACGGCCCTCCTAATACAGATCAGCATTCAACAATTACTCGCTCCAAATGCAAGATGGAATACATTCAGGTGTGGTGAGCTCTTGGTTGGAACTCTGACAGACGCAGCTGTAGAACAGGCCACAGAACAAGGACAGTGGTGAAAGTGTGCACTGAATGCAAGCATGTGACCAAAAAAAAAAGCCTGCCAAGAAAGTATTACAGAGGTAGATTAGAAAAGGGCAGCCTTTCAAGAAGACCAAGGGATTGCAGAAGGGAGAGGGGTCGTGCGAAAGAAATACATGAGGCAGAGTTATCTAGAGATCTCACAGACTCATCTGAAGCTGGGACACAGATGGGAAAAAGAGGATCGGAGACAGAAGGAATGCCCAAGAAGAACAGCGCTCCAATCCCCATTTTCCTTCGGGGCATATTGACCGAACACCAGGAAATGGTAGGGCATTGAAGATACGCCTCCCTTCCCTTTTGCCAAATTCAGTATACAGGACCTGCATCAATCCCACCACAAAACTTCTGAATGCTACCATTTCGAGTCTACCTACTAAAAAATAAATCACCACTGAGTTACCAGGCACCAGTTTTCAGTAAATATGCTAGTATGATTGATCAAGAAGAAGAAAGGAAGGGGAACTCACTCTGCTATTTTTCCTACTCTTCCAATTCCATTTTGTATGTAACCACTGGAAATATGCATGGACAAGCTACCAGATTTTCCACACTCCTACCTTGAACTTGTTTCCCACGCTGATGAAGCTGAGTTTTCCTGCTTTTTGTTTATGGTCTTTGTTGTTGTTAGAACTGGATTCAAAGAGCTGTCGGATAAATTTATCTTTGGATTCACATATAAGGGACTCCAGAGACATATGCAGAGCGTCATTGTTTTTTTCCACAAACTGGGTCTGGGGAAAATAATGAACTGGTTAACTCAGAGGGATTGCTCACACACATTTAGCTACATTCCTTGATCAAGTACTCTGGCTGGATAGTTCAATGAGTTAGGGATCTGGTTAGGTATTGAACAAGTAACTACTGCATTGGTGAATAGGTCCTTGGTAAGCAAACTTCTCTTCTACCTCAAATGTGAAACTTTCTAACAGAATCTGTTAACTCATCTAGCTGTAAGTTGCCAACAGTGCAGTTATTTGCATGCAGAGATACCACACAGGATAACTGTACATGTCAGTCCTTACACATACAAACTTTGCATTAATTGGAACATGGGTTAATATCTTACTTTCATAATCTAATTTGTGCTGAATTTTTTTTGTCATGCTATGCCAAAATTTCTCAGTCTTTCATAACACAAGCCCTCTTTCAGTAAACATAAAAATTCTCTTGCTCCCTTTCAAACTTCCTTCCCTCCAATAATTTTACTTGAAATCAGAAATACTGACATTTGGACTGGGCATCATTTTTCCAGAACTTAAGTCAGCACCACTACTGTGGGACACAAGTGTTTTGTTTTGGTATGGTAGGAGTTGCAGTTTGGTGGGGAAAACTCTTCAGAAAGTGCAGAGCAAAACCATATACACACAAGGACTCAGTAGTAAAGAAAAAGGAAAGTTAACACATACATTAATGTATGCCATGTGATCTTACTAAACAATAGACATAATTGTGTGTCTCCCCCATTTTCCAAATAGAAAAAACCCTAATAATATTGAATTTCTTTTTTTTTTCAGTCTATACACTTGTTTCCTATAGGGCACGTATCATTGGCTGAATATCACTGTGCTATGTGGTGCATGACAAAATCCAATGGTCAATGAATCTTTAAGATATTGCTCAATACAACAGAAAGAAGGCAGGGAAGATGAACTACACAGAGTAGCCCATAGAGTTGGGAATCTTCGTTTTCATGTTCTCAAGCCACCCATAAACCACCTCTGAACTAATTCCATGAGGGTTATCCTATCTCTCATCAGCCTGAAGACAAGGGTTTGACAGCTTCCCAGGCAAGCATCTAATTCTGGGGAATCAGAAAGAAAGGGGAAGTTTTCTTGCTCTTTGACAGCAGTACCACAAAAGGAAATATTTTACAGAAGAGCAGAGAGCTTATACATTTGAACTCCATTTCTCTTTCTCAGTCAACAACTGAAAAACAGTTGTGCATAATGAAGAAAAACAGGATGTTATGGAGAACTAATGAGAAGCTGGGCTTGAAAGTAAGATTTAAACTTTTTTTGATGAACTGGGTGATCTAGACCAATGGTTCTTAACCTTTGTTACTCGGATGTTTTTGAACTGCAACTCCCAGAAGCCCCAGCCAGCACAGCTGGTGGTGAAGGCTTCTGGGAGTTGCAGTCCAAAACTCCTGAGTAACCCAAGGTTAAGAACCAGTGATCTAGACTTTGTCTAGAGGGGCGGGGTATAAATTCAATAAAAGTAAAAGTAAAAGTTCATGAATTGAGTCCACATTGTCATCACAAAATCACTAGATAAAAATATCACTACCTAAAAAGTAGTGAGGATTTCCCTTCTCTTGGTAGTCTGATAATTATCGAAGACGGTCTACTCTTCTGCATGCCTAACCAATATTACAACATCTCCAACTGGAGGCCACGTATGTGTCCCACCAACCTGTGAAGCCAAGTCATTGAACACACAAGGCAGAACTTTATCTGTAGCAGCAAAACTATGGACTCCCTTCCTAAAGCAAGTCAGACTTCCTCCATTACTTAATGTGACTGTGTCTAAAAGTTATTTTAAAGTTGACTTTTAGTGTTGTTAAGATTTTTTTTAAAAGAGTACTGATTTCTAACCTTGGTTTTTAAAGTATCTGTTTTAATTGAATGTTTTAATCCTTTTTTGGTTGACCCATAACTTTGAGGACTCTCATGGGTAGAAAAGCAAAAGATGAATAAATAAATGAACAGTTTTAATAGGAGACAGATGCATAGATAATCCCAGACTTATTGGCTAGGCCAAGCCAGTGACGTTTTTTCCATTGGCTCATTTAGTTAATCAACTAAGAACAAAATCTTAGTAGGCTTGACTGGGTGAATCATTTCCTCAATAATCAGAAATTATTGGTTGCATCTCTCAACAATGTTATTAACTTAAGGGACAGTTGTCCTTTCTTTAACACATATGTCATACAGATGAGCACAAGCTGAAACGCTGGCCTTTTCCAGGGTATTACTGTATACACTGTTTATTATGCTCCGCATTGCTAGTTTCCCCCCACCCCTGGCTTTCCAAAGGCAAGGCAAGCCTTCTCTTTCAACAAGACTGTCAAGCTTTGTTGTTGTTTGATGTGCTCTGCGGCATACTAAGTGGCACTTTAATATTTTAATTGATTTCCTGGGGGATAGTTTGTTGCCTTTGTGGTTAATAATGAAAAGTGATTTTACATAACACGTTCAGGCTACTGTTGGCTATCCTACGGACTCAAAATCAGTTGTAAAGGCAGAATAATATACAATAAAACAAAAGGTGACAAAACAATTAGTGAAATGAAATAAATGCACCATTAGGTTCACAGAGATATTTAAATACATTTAATTCTAGGACCTTCACTCCTAGTTGCAGCTCTAGCTGCTCAGCCACCTTCTCAACTGTCAATCATTTAAGTTCGTTAGCAAACTGTTGAAAAAATCAATATAGGAAATGAAGTGCATCTGAAATAACATTTACCGTTTCATAGCACACTGCACCTGCAAAATGCCTGATAATAAAGCCCTCATCATCTCGGATATTTCTATGAACAGCCAGTTTGGACTTCCTGGGTATCTGAAATGTAAAAGGAACATCAAAAGCTATACACAACTGCAACAGAAATGGATCACACGACAGGTCCCTCATATACATCCCACATCTTAACATGCAGCTAACACACCAGCAGATTAAGACTCTATCTGCCTTTCAGATACAATTCTGACTATCATGGCCTTATCCTGCAGTATAGTGGAATCTGTAGTATACTGAGGTGCATACAATTCCCTACAGTATTTCAAAAGTGTTCAGTGGTTATCTATGTTATAATTATCATTGTTTCATCTTAAATGAGTGGTTGACCAGACCAGATGGGTGGGATATAAATCAAATAAATAAATAAAATAAATAAATTAAATACTATTTCACTCATTAAATACATACACTCATCACTTCTGTGCCCAAACTCCTTTCATATTAAATGGGGGCTACAGTTAAGGATGCAGAAAAGAGCACTTGTGAAACCAAAAATCCAGCAGCAGCAGCAGCAGCAACAACAACAACAACAACAACAAAACCCAGTCCAAAATGGCAGCAGAAAGGGTCTTAAATTGATTTTGGTGCCACTGGTTTTTAAGTTTATTCTATGCTACTGTTATTTGTGCTATATTTTAGTGTTTACTGAGCTTGGCTTTAACAGTTTGTAAATCAGCCAGAATAGTGCTTCAGCACTAATGGGACAGTACATACATTTAAATAAATAAATAACCAACCAACCAACTTTTGAAAAGAACACTATCTTAACCTGCATCTGGAATGCTACCAGCAGGGGAGAAGAATCCACTTTCCCCATGGGAAGTGCCCAAAGCCTTGGCAACTATATCACCCACTCTGTTTTAAGAGATGAAGAGACTCCAGTGGACATTCATAGTACAAGGCAAGCCTTTAGACCCCACAGACTAGGATCCAAGCAGTTTAGGGCCTAAGTGGTCAAAAACAGCTGTTGGAATTGCACCAAGAAACAAACTAAGAGCCAGGGCAACCCTTTCAACACTGCTGTTGTATGTTCGTTGCGGCCCGTTCTAGTCCACAGGCCAGAAGCCACGTTTCACACTATCTATAACTCTGTAAACAGACACTTGTGTGTTGACGCTGAAGGTGAGGGAGGCACAAATAATGGTGGCTGGGTTGTAGCTGTAGCTGACGCTCCTGCGCGCTCACGCCGCAGGAAGCAACCCAAGCACATCCAAGGAGCGCCAGCCTGCACAGATGGAAGCAGAAATGGATTTGCTTCACTTAAAAAACAAAACAAAACGGATCATTCAAACATCAGGAAAGACAGTATTTAATTGCGTCAACACCATGAACATTAAATTATCATTGTCCTGGAACCGCAAGCACAGAATGCTCCTTTCTGCTTGGTTACTGCACAGTACTCTTGTCACAGTAATTAGGAGTAAATGACTGAGGCCATACGGAGATTAAAAACTGCCATGATTACTGCCATAATATTACTGTGGTTATCATACAGGTTCCGTAATCCATATGCTGATCTGTAGCTTAACACAGTCAAGATCCTAAGCCAGGATTAAGCAATATTGTGTGGGGGGGGGCTGCATTGCCCTCCCCTATCTTCCAGGGTTTACACATTGCTGCTGGCACTGTGGGACAAAGGAGGACTTTTTCACTTTAAATACTGCAATATTTAAATCCTGACAGCAACAAGTTTAAAAGTGTCTGTTTCTAGTTATGTCTGCCACCAAGTCACCACTGAATTTTAGCAGAGCCGAGACATTGTGGTGCACAAAATACAGTAGGGCTAAACGATCTAGATAGTGGGATTTGCATCCCCAAAGTCCCTCCGTTTTCTCAAACAGCATTCTTTTCAAAAGATTTTGCTCATTTTTGAAGTGTAGTGGTGAATCTCCAGCATTCATCCAAACAGGGCCTATAGAGTGCAGCATCAACCTGAGCTGAAGGACTGGTTTGAGCACAGAAGCTGACTGGATGGGCAGTCCAACATTAACTTCAACCATAGTATTGGGGTAGCAGGCTCCACTGCACCTGAATCACCGGAGCAGCTTTTGTGGCATACAGAATCGTATTCCAAACAAGGCGATACAGAAGAAAAGCTGTCAGTGCTGTCTGTGAGCATTTGCTGCTTGAGGCAGCCACTTTAATCTGCCTAATTGAAGGGCCAATCATTGGGTGCAACATGATGAAGCTATTTCTTTGTCTGTATATTCTGTCAAACTAATGAAACTCTCACTGCCCACTTACAGCATGCACGTATCACCATACAGAACCAAAACTCACACATCCAGGATATGCAGCTACTAGAGATGGGAGTCCCATGTTTCGTATGAAACACACACTTTAATCTGCCTAATTGAAGGGCCAATCATTGGGTGCAACATGATGAAGCTATTTCTTTGTCTGTATATTCTGTCAAACTAATGAAACTCTCACTGCCCACTTACAGCATGCACGTATCACCATACAGAACCAAAACTCACACATCCAGGATATGCAGCTACTAGAGATGGGAGTCCCATGTTTTGTATGAAGCACAGCACCACAGATGATACTGAGTTCCATCTCCCTCCCTGCAGGCCTTGTGGTCCACTTACTGGGCGCTGCATGCTGGTGGGGTCCTTCTCTGGCAGTGTCACTCCAATCCAGGCAGGAGCCCAGCCAGTCTTTCCCCGCCTCCTCAGACAGCCAACCATTCTGGCGAGGAGAAGGGGCAGGGAGTCTCCCTGCACAGCCGATGAGTGGTTGGCTGTCTGGAGAAGAGGGGAAAGGCTGGCTGGCTGGGCTCCTGCCTGGATTGGAGTGACCCTACCAAAGAAGGACCCCACCAGCATGCAGAGCCCGGTAAGTGGATCAGGCAGCCTGGGCGGAGAAAGATGGGACTCAGCACCACATGCAGTGCTGTGCTTCATGCTTTGTATAAAGCATGAAGCTCCCATCTCTAGCAGCTCCACTCTAGTCACAGGCAAATGGGTCCAACTTTGCTCCAAATGAGAGCAACCCCAAATACTAACAGAAAAAGGATACAACCCAATATCATGCACCTGTTTTTTATTTTTATTTTTAACAGTTTCTAGTTGGCCCCAACTAGTGTCAATACCAAAAATAAACTTACTGAGAGCCTGAAATGGTCTTTGTGTTTTTGGTGGACTGTTGATGTAAAGTGCTGGTCACTTGGCTGGGGAAGACGATTTTCTTCGTCCAAGATATCAAGAACACCTATTAATTTTCCTTCAATTAAATCTGTTGGTGAGATGGAAAACAGAAAGTTGATGTAAGATATGCAACGACAAAACTCATACAAATCCCAAAGATACATCTGCTTAAGCAGTCCCACAGAAGCTTCAGACTAAGGATAGGGAGAAAACAAAATGATGCATCGCTATTCACTTCTAAGACAACCTGCAACAAATAAAACTTAAGAACAAAAACAGTATCCCAGTATTCAACATTCTTACCTATGCAATCTTGATTGTCTACATAATGTACTTCATTGACACCTAAACCTTCTTTCTGGTAAAGTTCTTGTTCCTGAAATAGAAACAATAACATTGTTATATTGGCAAGATCTTGCTGAAATGCCTATTTTCTTATGTCCCTTATACAGATGCCAAGGGTACATGCTCACACTGTGACACAACTGCACCAGCATCATTGTTGCTTCTGGCACGGCTGTCATTTATTTTCAGCCTGGGACAAAAGAGTCTATTGTGATGTGCCACCTACAGTTTTAACCTATTTGGCCTATGGGAAACAAAACAGGTATGAAATTCTGTTGTTTCAGTTTCTAAACATTCCAATTGTATAATTTTCTGGTGCCCAGATCAGCCTCACTGCTCATCTGCTTTATTCTTTTCCAGCATATAATTCATTAGGTTTCTCTCACAAACATGCCTTGGTTTGGTTCCTAGTGATTACTATTAACTCTGACCTTCTTCAGGCAATTCCATCATTGTAGTCTTAACTAGTACAATCATATATTTCCTTTTGTTTACATGTGCTAGGAGTACAAGATGAAATGAAAAATAATTCCCACCATTTCAAAAGGTTTCCTTCACTATTTTCAAAGTCTATAGAACCTTAAAGCATTCAAATTTCATGTGGGCTGGAGAAAGTTGATGAAAAAATAATGAGGTTGATTCTGACATAACTCTTCCACGTGAGTTCATCAGAGGGCTTTCAAAGCATTGCATATGAACAAAATGGTAACTTTTAAAGGGGTGACCAAAATTCTATGAGATTCATGGAAGTAACTCCAAGAATCACTTATAGACTGATCAGGACTTAGATTAGATGGGCAACGAGGGAAAAAAAAATCATTGAAGCTGTTACTACTGCAGTAAAATATATGGAAATTTTTGCAGTATATTGCTGAACCAATTGATTGCACAGTATACTCTACATTACATACCTCTTTGAGAATCCGTTCATTAAAGAACTGCTGCAGTTTCTCATTACAATAGTTAATGCAAAACTGTTCAAAGCTGTTGTGTTCAAAATATTCTGTGGAACAAAAAGATGAACAGCTTTTGAGTAGAAAAGGTCAGCTTGCAGAAGACACGTAGCATAAAATAGCATATACCCTTATGCTACCTTATGGCACAGAGCTCCCAGCCTTAGATCCAAGATATAACCATCATAATTCTGAAGAGCAAAGTTAGAGTACTCCAATTGTTCTGCTTAGAAATACACATTTGTGATTACTCCTGGCATTTCACATTTTGGATGCTAAATGTAGGTGCAGCATCATCTGTCAATCTCATTTCTCCTTACTATTACCACGAAAAATCACAGTCAAAGGCTTAACGACAATAGCTTTCCTCCATTATTTCTCTAGACCAGTGGTTTCCAACCTTGGGTCTCCAGATGTTCTAGGACTACAACTCTCAGAATTTCTGGCCAGCACAGCTAGTGGTGAAGTCTTCTTGGAGTTTTAGTCCAAGATCATCTGAGGACCCAAGGCTGGGAATCGTTGCTCTAAACCTAACCCACAGCTCAAACTCAAGGCAACAAACACACAGAAGCCAGTGCAGCACAAAGGTTTAAAAACAGGAAGTTGTTGTTCAAATACTAACTCAGCCACAAAACTGTTGGGTCTGTTTAGGTCAGATATTAGACTCCTGTGGCTCTTGAGATACTGAAACTATAGTTCTCACCATTCCTGTCTAACAACCATTCTGGCTTTCGCTTATGGGAGTTGGAGTCCACACACAGTAGCTTGCAATTCCCTTCTTCTGGGGATCTCCTGGGGCTGTGCAGCTCACCCTAGGCCACACAGGCTGGCTTTACTTCGAGAAAGCACAGTGTGGAATCAAAATGCCAGCCTCTAGCTTTACAGCCAGATACCTAAATCACTGAGCTATCCAGCCAGTCAATTCTGGTGTACAACGGAATAATAATAATAAAAAAAGGGTTCTAGCAGGTTCAAAAGGCTGTGATGAGACATGGGCAATTTCAAGTACAAAAAATGCAAAATGTTATGCTTGAAGAACAGCTCTCAGGAGTGGCCATGCACCCTGTGGAACTCTTTAAGAGATGTAGCTCAGAAAAGTTAATTTTCCCATTTCTGATCATTGGCAGCCACCATGCGACGTTACTCTGACTTTTCCTGGAAAGACAGCTCTCCCACAAACATGAAATCAATGGCACTGGGGCACAGTTAAATGGAAAAGAGACCAAACTATGCAGGAACTAAAACAAAGCAAAGCAAGTATGGGGCTAATTAGCACATGGTTTGGGAAACGCAAGGATACCACACCCCAAGTTGAATGTTTGCAGAAGAGGAAGATAGGAGTAGAAAGAAAAAGAAAAGATATTGAATACTTAAAATACAGAACACTTACCAAAACCAGCAATATCCAGAACTCCAATAAAAAAAGATGAAGTCTCAAATGGGAAACACTGATTTACCCGGTTTACCACATGATCAAAGAGGTGGCTGTAGACCGTTTTTGCCAAGGCGTCACGTGCATTGTTTGCCTGCTCTACTTTCAGTGGTACTCTGTGAGACAAGAAAATTGCCATTAACCACTGTGATTATGATTTTTCATCTTTTGAGGCACATCTTGTCAAGCCAACTGGAAATAAAACAGTTCAAAAACAATAACTGTACAGACAACCAATCCATAAGAAAATAAACAAATCAAATCATGAATGGGTACCAGCAATACATTTGGCATAGAAAGCTGGGCTGAATTACACAAGACCTTGGAGGGCCCTCTCAAAGGTCGCAAGATTTGGCACAAAGAGGATACCACAAGAAGAGGAGCCTGAAAGTAGGCGGGGCTTTAACTAAGGTGAGGATGGAGGGGGGGAACTCCTGCGTTCAGTCCCACCCTACAACATTCTACCCAAATAGCAAACCTTTACAAGATTAGAGCAGAGGTCTAAAGCAGGTTCAACTGAACATGACCAACAGACTTTATCAACTGCAAAACACCTAGTACAGTGGTGCCCCACATAGCGACGTTAATCCGTTCCAGGATTAACGTCGCTATCCGGATTCGTCGCTATGCAGGGGGGGAACCCATAGGAACGCATTAAACTCTGTTTAATGCGTTCCTATGGGGCAAAACTCACCGCTATGCGGGGAATCCTCCATCCAGTCGCCATTTTTGCTGCCCGGTAAGCGAGGGCAGGGTGTGAAAACGCTGAGTGCGGCCATTTTGTGGATGCGGTGGCCATTTTGGAACAGCCGATCAGCTGTTTAAAAAACACCGCAATGCAATAATCGGTAAGCAAAACACTTACCGATCATCGCAATGTGATGTTCAGCCACCTAAAACATTGCAATACAATTGCAAAAAACGGGTCGCTATGCAGATTTGTCGTTAAACGGTGTGCTCGTTAAGCGAGGCACCACTGTAAATCCATTTAGCTGGATGCACTTACAACTACCTCTTCAAACCTCTTGACTGACATCAGGGAAACTGGTGACAGGTTTACGTGCATCCCTGTATCTCCATGATGATTACAATCCCACCTACTTTCATAATGTAATATTTATTTTATTTATTAAATTTATACCCCACCCATCTAGACCGAAGTCTACTCTGCGCGGCTAACAACAATAGATAAAATAAAAACAATATAAAAGAATTTAAAAAACAGAGTAGTACTGTAATATAGCTCAAGATGGGAAAAATATTCAAGTGATACTAGATTCAAGTAATACTAGAAAGGGCTAAAGTATCACGTGGGACAGGCTCAGCAACCTAGGAAACCAAAAGGGGATAGGATGGGAACCCCTGAGTGTATTGAGAAATGCTTCCACCACTATTATGAGAATGAAGGCAGCCACCCATAAAACCACCCATACAAGGTCCCCAGTCCATACAAAACAGCCCTTTTGTGAGCCCAGCCCACCTATCAGTGGAGCACTAGCTCCACACGCTACCAAGTACAGTAAGAACTGCTTCACATGAATTGAATCATGAAAGATTATCAATTCTCTTCCCAAATTCCCTATAATTCTGTGAGATGCACATACAAATAATGACCTCATATATCTACATTTGTGGAATACTAGGAAGAACTCCAATACTTTGGCCATCTCATGAGAAGAGAAGACTCCTTGGAAAAGACCTTGATGTTAGGAAAGTGTGAGGGCAAGAGGAGAAGGGGACGACCGAGGATGAGATAGCTGGACAGTGTCTGCGAAGCAACCAACATGAAATTGACAGACCTCCGGGAGGCAGTGGAAGATAGGAGGGCCTGGCGTGCTCTGGTCCATGGGGTCACGAAGAGTCGGACACGACTAAACGACGACGACGAGGAAGAACAAACACTCATGTGTTAGTTACTTCCAATGGCAGTCATAAACGTTACTTGTTTGGGATTGCAGCTCTCAAAGTCCCCAGCCAGCATTTCAAATGACTATGAGATTCTGGGAGCTGTAGTATATGCTTCCTGTGGGACTCTGAGAATTACAATCTTTTAAAAGATATATTTTTTCCAAGCTCTGATTTCCATATCTTCTCCTTTTTGTCAACATGTTAAGCAGATTTCACTTCAGCACTTGCAGTTTTTTTCCTTGTCTTTACTGTTCACCTCCATTTTAATAGAAGAAATCATACAAGATTAAGCAGGTCTATTAAAAACACCCTCAACCTTCACAATCCATATATATGCATTCATGCAAGTATCATTAGCAATTATCCAGAATCAATAATGCATAAGGTGCCACTAGAAGGACAGAAAGGACACAACACTTACCTTAGAGGAATGATAATCTATATAAAATAGGCAAAACGAGGATTGTGGATATAGAAAAAGAGATTAGGGACTTCTAAACATTTAGGGCAGATGGAATCATAGGCTAGTGGAAGAGCATATGCGACAAAGCAAAAGCATTAAACCTTTATGGAGAACTTGGAGCAAGAGAGGAGAATGACTCAAAGGAGAGAAGGGTGTTCCAGCACGGTTTCATTTAGGGCTGAGTCAAAAGTCCTCCAGCTAATATTTTCTACATCAGATGCTACACAGAGGGTCCTACTGCCTTCCCACAGAAGGTAGTCTTTTTGGCAGCCATTTACCAATTGGTTTTCTCTTTAAGCAACACTACCTTTGTAACTACTGGAAGAGAGAAAGCTAAGGCAATGCCTATTCAGTTTCCATCACTCTGAAGTAGCTTTGTTGGATTTTGGTATGACTGTTGACAGGGAGAAGAAGATGTAGTAGGTGTGGTGAGGAATGTCTCTAAAATTACAGCCCATCAAGGCTGGAAAGAAATAAGGGAAACTGCTTCTAACTAAACTCCAGGAACTACTGAATATTTTGGCGGGGTCTTTGCAATCTATGTTGTGTGTGTGCCCTCTCACTGCAGTAGCCAGCCAAACACATGCAAGAGAGCACAGATATATGCCTTCTGAGCACAGTCAAACAGGAGTGTGCTTTTTGGAATAAGCAGACTCCCTATTTCAACAACAAAAAATTAAAAAAAATAAACTTTAGTACAGGCAGGCAGGCATATGTTGAAAACAGCAGACACAAATAACCATACACAGAAAACAGCTCAGCGATGACAATTATCATTTGTGGTGCAGAGTAACAATCTCCTCACCATCACTATTTATTTCTCTTCCTCTTCGCCTGAAGAAGCAAGGCCTTAACTTTCAACGGAATCAGACAATGAGGGCACGGCCACAGGAGCTGAGAGCTATGCAAGGAATCTGAACTGTTTCAAGTCAACCTAAGCCCTACCTGCTGAAAAGCACAATCCCATTTGAACTGATATTCTGACACTGTCCGAGAAAAGGATTAACCGTTGCAGCCATGCCCTACATGTCTTCTTCTCTAGGTCACCACTGAGAGGAACTGTAGAAAACCTGCAGTGCTGCTGCCTTGCATTACATTATCCTTATGGCTAAACAGCTGTTTCTCTCTTTTGCAAGCATAGATGTAATGTGTTAAAATGTTATTTAAAGCCAAGGTATTGTAAAACAGCAACATTATTAACTGGAATCCCCTGCTACCGAAAGTGATCCATCAAGGAAGTTAAAGCTCAATTTATTAGGAATAATGGTGGCTATGTTACATTAGAGTGTAATTAGCTTTAATGTACAATCTCTTGATTCATCTTACGGTAATAGGCACTGACAGGAATCTTATCTTATAAATAGAGAGAAGGTTCCTTTACATTCCCCTTCTGATACGTTTAAGAGCTTAGCACAATAATCCTCACAGTTCATGCCAACTGCCAATCATTTACATAAGACACTATGCATACTGTAATTTCAAGACAAAAAAAAACAACTAATAAAATAACATTGATTAACTGAATGTTCAAGGTAACAAGAAAAAATGATCTGTTTGTATCTGCAGCTAAGGAATGAGCAGCAAGAAAACTACTCTAGAAAGGATATAATGCAGCAGGAGGTCTTTGGAACTGAATGCAAACTGATCTCTGTTAATGATATGTACATATCTTCATGGTTAAAACACCATCAGACACCCTTACCCACCCACCCCAAAAAAACCCACCCAGGTTGTCTGGCACATTGCAGTAGAGTGCATGTTTGCAGTAGAAGACCAAAGACCTCCGACCATGGTTTAAGATCAGACCCAACTTAGTGGGATTTTGCTCACTAACTTATCTGCTAAGTATGCTTGAAACTTAAGGAGTCCTGTACTATTTGTACCCTTCACCTTAATTCACTCCCCTGTGCTCAGTGCCTGAATGATGGGAGAAAAGAGAGAGTGAGAGTTATGAAATCCATGAGCTCGACTCCCATCTCCTCCCAATCGTAGCCAAAACCAAACCATTTATTTCCTGGTAGAAGTTCAAAACATCTGGAAGGTCAAACATTGACAACCATTGTCATGTAAGATGATTAGTCCTGGGATAAACTAACTCCCACACTTGAAATCCTCCAATACATGCTGAGCAGATCTACCGGTATTATGAGGCTCCCACACATGCGTTAAAACAAATGCCAGCTGTCTTGTTGGGAAGAAAATGGAATGTTTTGGAGAGGGAATATTTAATTACATTTCATAGGAATATTGTTTACTGTTGCAGGAAGTAACAAATCATTAAACTACTGAATCACCTAGTGTGATCTGATCTGTGCTGTGACATTTTATCAATAAACATCAAACTAATGGCCATATTGAAGCCTTTATCAGAGTTTTCCATTTAGGTATCTGTCAGTTTCAGAGTGTGGAGATAATGCAGACAGCATGATAAAAGTTGCTCGGGAGCCTCCCACTCTCAACATGTAATGAAGTATCCAAGCAAAAAACAACATTGCAGGGCTGCTGTTTTATGGTACTTTTACAGCCATAATGTTAGCCACAAACCTGCAACATGGAATAATTGTGCTAGTCAGTTTCCCTTAAATTTCTTAAACTGAAGCCCAAGTTAGAAAAAGCATTGGGCAGAAAACAACTCAATAATGTATTCATGAAGGCTTTCACGGCTGGGATCTAATGGTTGTTGTGGGGTTTTCAGGCTCTTTGGCCGTGTTCTGAAGGTTGTTCTTCCTAACATTTTGCCAATCTCTGTGGCCGGCATCTTCAGAGGACAGCACTCTGTGCTCTGGTGTAGTTTGCTTGGGAGTGGAGTATTTATGGCTGTGAGATAGGCTTTTGTCCTTTTCTGAAGATGGGTGATTAGTGTGTCTTGTTGTGGGTGTATTGTTGTGATAAGGAGCAGAGATTATCTGTCACTGTGATTGATGGGTATCATTAGCTGGTCTTTTGTGTGTAGTGATCCCCGTGGCTGGGTAGAGTTTGTTGACCTTTTGCACACTGTATTTTTGAGAGCTGGGAGCCAAGTTTTGTTGAGTTTCAAACTTTCCTCTTTTTTGTTGAAGTTCTGCTGGTGCTTGTGGATTTCGATGGCTTCCCTCTGCAGTCTGACATAGTGATTGCTGGTGTTGTCCAGTATTTCAGTATTTTGAAATAGAACTTCATGTCCAGCTTGTTTAGGGCATGTTCAGCTACTGCAGATTTTTCTGGTTGTTTTAGCCTGCAGTGTCTCTCATGTTCTTTGATTCTGGTGTGGATGCTTCGTTTTGTGGTTCCAATATATACCTGGCCACAACTGCAAGGTATCCGGTGTACTCCTGCAGTGGTTAGGGGATCAACAAAATTTGGCTCCCAGCTCTCAAAAATACAGCGTGCAAAAGGTCAATGAACTCTACCCAGCCACAAGGACCGGGGATCACTACACACAAAAGACCAGCTAATGATACCCATCAATCACAGTGACAGATAATCTCTGCTCTTTATCACAACCATACACCCACAACAAGACACACTAATCACCCATCTCTAGAAAAGGACAAAAGCCTATCTCACAGCCATAAATACTCTACTGCCAAGCAAACTACACCAGAGCACAGAGTGCTGTCCTCTGAAGATGTCAGCCACAGAGACTGGCGAAACATTAGGAAGAACAACCTTCAGAACATGGCCAAAGAGCCCAAAAAACCCACAACAACCACACAACTGAATACTTCTGCTGGATCACATGGCTTCTGCCAGAATCACTGACCCTCCTATCCTCCTGCAGCCCCACCTCCTGGGACATTAAAATCCTTATCTGGTAAACCTTTTGGAGTAGGTTTTTGGGCACCATGGAGGTCTTCAGATACAGGAGATTTGGCGGTGGGGTGGGGAGTACCAATATCAGTGGTGTCAGATGCTAAATTATACCACTGCATCTTGGGCATAAATGCCTCTGTTTGCTGCTACCTTATTTGCAGATAGCTACTCTAGTGCCCAATTACAGCTATTGTAATTTAAAATCCTGGATGTCTCCACTGATTTCAATGGAAAGCTCTCACACCTCCCTAGAGGAAGCAATTCAAACACATCCACTTAAATGAAGTGGGAAATTTCCAATCCAGACTAGGATCTGCATCACTTTGAAGTCTTCACCTCCCTGAGACTTAGGCTAGTTGAACTTAAGACACACTGGAACACTAAACAAACAGAAGAAAGAGGATTATTATCACTGCGAGTTGTCCCAACGAACATGAATTACACTAAGCTACGAAAACTCAACAATGTAAGTCAAATGAATCAAAACCAATGATGCCTCATTCAAACAAACGTACTAACAATAATGATTAACAAAATGCCAAACAGAAGACAAAATTATAAGATGCACAACAAACTATGCTAAAAATCAAGCAACTATCTAGGAAATGGAGAATGAACCATGAGCAAGCCACAAGTTTCTTGCCTGTTGCTGTACATTGATAAGTTTTCTGCTTCTTGCAGACAATGCCACTTCCCACCCTCACACCAAGAAGAGAGCATGCAGTTGGAAGTGACCTCTCTGCAGAGCCCTGTCTCTTACAGGGTACATTACACCTCCAGAATTTGTCTCCCCGGGTCAGTAATTTTTCATGAGGGAGGGAAGGGTGATGCTGACCAAAAAAGAGAGGAAAATATGTGTTTCAAAGTGCACCTGATCCTGACCAAAAGAAAGGAAAATATGCAATGGGCTTATGGAGAGATGAACTCAATTCAGCTGAAAATTGAAGCCATGAGAAATCTGGATGATAGATTTAAACACTATAAACCAATACAAGTCAACTTGAAATAGAAACCTCCCAGCTTCTCTAACAAAACCGGCACTGATAAGATGAATAATCGGGACAGCAATCTGCTAACACCCAGAGGGTCTGAGTGGAACTAGCCCATAATTAAGGCAATGCCACGGGAACCAAATCATTTACTGTTTGCAAAACTCTTGCCTAGAAAGCTACAGTTGTGGTGCACTTTGAAACGCACACCAAAAAAGCTAAGCTGCAGCAGCTAAAGAACTGAGTGAATGCTGGTGTTTTTCCACTTCTGTCTTTAGGATGTTTCAAGAAGCCGTGCAGATTGTATTACTTTGCACAAACATCATGCTTACTCTTAGCTTTTAAGCAATGATTGTTATACGAATGTGGATTCAAGCTGTGCTGAGACATGCTGCCGGGCATTTTCACTTTTCTTCACAACATCTGACAGCTTAATCATCAACAGAACCGTCAGGCAATTTCCCCCCCTTACCGTTATTAGATAGAGACATTTTCTCTGGCACACTGGGATGAAAAGAGACAGAAATAAATGTGATGGGGCAACAGATATTTTATTACTCTAAGGAAAGCACCATTCATCTTGCAGAATAAAGTAAAAAAAAAAAGGTGGGGGAAAAGCAAAGTGATCCTGCATTTCCATTGTTCCATAAACAGATACAAGAGAGACACTTCGGAACAGCTCAAAGAGAGGATTTTAGAGTCAATATTTACAACTATCATTTGCAAAAGAAACAACAAGGCGTCAGGTTGGGAAGGTAAGAAATGAGAAAAAGTAAGAGAGAGAGAGAGAAACAGGCTGCTTCTCTTTGCTCTACGTTGAGTGCAACTGACTTACTTGATAACCGTTCCTTTGGTGCCCCCTGCCGTTGTCAGCATGACTCGTGTTGTTAAACTAACACGCAAGTCATCCTGGTCAAGACCAAGCAACTCTGCGCAGTATTCGAGGGACTGAGAAGATTTATTCTTCAAGGTGCACCCCCCTGATTTTAAAAGGAGAAACAGATAACATGATTTAAAAGAGCAGGTCGCCCCTCTTAGAGAAATACCAGGGTTTTTTTTTACAATTACTTACAGCAAAGGACATATTCTACAGTATTTCATGGGGAACAAATAAATGACATAGAAATAGAGGGGAACTGGACATAATTTTGAAATGGAGAATTCACCCTGCACAGCAAACAAGAAACTTATTCTGAACTATTCAGAAAAACTCTAACCAGAGAATGGAAGGTGTTTTATCCTACAAATCTCAAGAACATTTACAGCAATTTCACTGCAAAGAAATTCAAGCCCTTATCTTGCAAGTGTGCTGTATAAAGACATAATGAAGGGAAGCACAGCACCCATCCCTTCCTGCTTTTGTCACCTGCCTATGAATAGAGGACAACTATCTGGAGTCCTCACTATTAGCAGATGCTCTCCAAGTGAGCTGAAAATCAGATTTTCCAAGGTTCAACTCGCAGGGAATGGGCTCCACAGATTGTGGAGACTCCCCTCTCCAGATCCATGACCCCTTCATGCCTACAAAGATGCCAAAGGGCAGAGCTAGCTTGCTCCTGCTCTCACATGTTGCTACAACAAGCTTTCAAATGGCGGCACACAGCTTCAGTTCCTGCATAACACAATTTTTGTCAGTGCTTGCATGGCACACTTCTGCTGTAATTATGCAGGTCTTTCAAAATCCATACTGAAGGACCACAGCTTAGTGGTAAAACATCTGCTATGTATGCAGAAGATCCTGGGTCATCTCTAGTTAAAAAGAGTTTACAAATAGAGTTTACATATGCCTGCCTCTCCATTTTACCCTGCAAGTATAATTGAGCACAGATTACCATCTGAATGGAGAATACATGTAGCAGTGCTTCCAGAGTACATGGACACGCATGCAAGTCACTTCTGAACATGGATCCATTTTGTATATTTATGTACTAAATCATGTAAACTGATGCAAATAGGGAATACAAACAAGCAGAGTGGATTTTTAAAAATCAAATTGATTTAAACTGTTATTTTTTAAAAATAATCAAAAATAATTGTGATTTAAATCAGTCCATCCTGCAAACAAGCCCTAGTTGACACCTGTTTGGAAATGCCATCAATACTGCAGTCAGACTCTCAGTCTACATAACTGTTTCAAAATTTTTCAATTTTTTTTTCATTTTTGCCTAGCAAAAAGATGCTTCAGCAATTACTTCAACTAGTTTATGTTCCTTCTCTTAAACAATACAACAGTTTTTCAAAAATTTACATAGGCTTTCGCACCATTTCAAATTTCTATGAAGAAAGAACAACTTGCATTTACTAAAGGTGAATTCTGTTTTCCTGACCTCAGTTTATATTACCAGCTGAATCTGCTAAGCTGTATTAATTACTGGAACACAAAAAGGACATAATGGTAATTGAACCAACCAGATGTGCTGCCAGCTTCTTCAAAGTTAATATTCCCAAGGTGCAGGACCCCAGCCACTACACGGAAGAGATCCAGCTTTTCTTCATCATCCAAACCAATCTTCTTCATTGCGGTGCACATTCTGTTGAAGTCCCCATGGTCATCTAACAAAGGATCCTTCATGGAACCCAGTTTCAGGTACTAAAAACAACAGCAACATAAGCCATCTCAAAACGATTGGAACTAACATTTTCCATTGTGAAAGTATTGCCAAAGTAAACAAGAGAACAGAGCTCTAGCCCTTCACCCTTGAAACGTCATAGGATTAATGCTACAGGTAGGGGCTTCATGGGTGAAAATGGGAGACAGTGATGAATGTGGAGGAAGCCACAAGGAGAAGGTTTTTGGCACTATTAACTTGGGGCAAAAAGTGCCCCAAAGTGAAGGGATTACGTGTCTTTTAACTTTACATGAGAGATTTCCTGTCTCTCCAGAAAAATTTCAGGGAGGCCACAAACAGGGATAAAAATAATGGCTCACAAATCAATGTTCTTGCTCTGAACTGGCTCCACACACTAGGGTCATCACTGACTGACCAGTTCTATGACTCTGCCATTTATGATTTCCAGCTCCCTGGAATCCTGTAGTGAAGTCAAAGAAGCACCAGATCCAACAAAAAGAAGCACCCAAACAGCTGTCCTTTCGGCAGTAACAAAGGAGCATATATATATATAGCCAGAATTAATTCCATCAAGCTCTTCCAGATCAGCAGAAGCTCATTCGGAGAGTTCTTTTGAGCATCATTTAGAGCAGTGGTCCCCAACCTTGGGCCTCCAGATGTTCTTGGACTTCACCTCCCAGAAATCCTGGCCAGCAGAGGTGGTGGTGAGGGCTTCTGGGACTGGTAGTCCAAGAACATCTGGATGCCCAAGGTTGGGGACCACTGACTTAGAGGCTGAACCCAAGGTCTTACTGCATGCCAAGTGGGTGCTTTAGCATCAAACTGTGCCCCTCCCCTGCTTTCCCCCCATTAGAGCACCATTTTGCCCCTAAAATGCTTTTAGCTATTTCCTGTAGGTCTAATGTTCCATTGTGGGTCCTTTTTAAGAAGAAAGGCAGGAAATAAATAAATAAATAAATAAATAGATAGATAGATAGATAGATAGATAGCTAGATAGATAGATAGATAGATAGATAGCTAGATAGATAGATAGATAGATAGATAGCTAGATAGATAGATAGATAGATAGATAGCTAGATAGATAGATAGATAGATAGATAGCTAGATAGATAGATAGATAGATAGATAGCTAGATAGATAGATAGATAGATAGATAGCTAGATAGATAGATAGATAGATAGATAGCTAGATAGATAGATAGATAGATAGATAGCTAGATAGATAGATAGATAGATAGATAAATAAATAAATTCCGGTGCATTTGAGAAGAGATTACGGTGCTTACAGGCATGTCTTCAGTTCTCAAATGAAGCATGGAAATGTAAAAAATTTAGAGAAAATATATACTGATATTGTCAACTAGAACTATATATGTAAGTGCATAAACTGATGCTCACTTTACTTGAATAATGCATAAAAATGCACTAAGCAGTATTTTAAGCAGTTTTGCCTATTCAGCTGTTTGGGTTCAAACACCACACAACATGACCAATTCAAAGTTCTAAATATCTTTCACTAAATAGCAAGCTGCTCTACATGCAAGGAGAAAAGACATGCACAATAATATTATTAACAACAGAAGAACACTGTTTAAAAAACTGAAAAGAAAATGCAGTTTTACACACCATCTACCCAGTTTAATCCCATACGAGGGATCAACACTGTTCTAATGGATCTAAGAACAGAAGCACTTGCATGCATCTGAAAAATTCACATCACGTAGCAACTTAATGAGAGTAAGATTTCAAATTATGCAAAGTGATCACCTCATCTTCCTGATAGGAGAAGGATAAAAATAATGTAAGCATTAATTGAGTATTCTGCTTACTATAATTAAACATGTTAAATGAGTTTCAAAGTTGGAAAAACAAAGAAAATGACCTCTGGAAAAGGTTGATGGTAGAAAGCATAATTTCAAATTAGAAAGGGCAGATGGCCTTCTTGGAAACTAGTTTCAGGACTCATACTAAAATTATCAAGTTTGTATCCGCCTTTTCATTTACTTCTAAAAGGACACATCATACATCCTAATATTCCTCCAAAATCAGCTTCATGGATAGGTGGCACTTCAGGAACACAAAAGCTTTCTGACCAAGTACTATACTGTCCACAGGATTGTGTGAACAGGAGGCAACTTGATACACCCAATAAACTGGGTGCACAAAACCTACACCAGTCACCCACAGATCCCAATCTTGTATCCCTGTGCCTAGGGGTGTGTGTGTGTGCGTCCATGCATGCGTGGATTGAAGTTATGTTCACAAAACTTTTGGTCCACAGTGTCTGATCAGTTCCCAAACGTCTCCTGTGCCAACAAGTGCTGGCAACTACTAAGCTGAGATTCAAACGTCTCTTCCCACAGCATCCAAACCACAGCTTCTCCAGCAATTGTGGTGACAGGTGAAAAGGTGATGTGGGTTTAGTTCATGGGTTTTTCGCAAACCCAACCCAGTTTCAAAGTCATGGGTTTACAATCATCATGTAAATCGACTGGTAATTAATGTTGAGTTTCCAGTTATATTCACTCTTCACTGAACAAAGTTACCTACAATAACCTGCTTCCTTTATCTATTTGAACATACAAAGGCATAGCGCCACTGTTCTTTAAACGTATTTCACCGCAGTCCTGAACACTATCTCTAATAATATTTGTGGGACATGATGCATTACTGGACACTGTAATCATACACAAGTGTCCCTTCTAATGCCTACCAAATGAGAAATGGATGAATAATCCTAAAAATGCCTGTATGTCTTTTGCTGCTCTCATTTAAACAGGTATGCTTTTAGAGTTACTAATAGATCTTCCTGTAACTCAGTGGAGGAGATGGGGGAGGGAGGACTTTCAGCCTCCAGGTAGTGAAGCAGCACTGCAATCATCACACCTCACCATGGACCAGACTGACGATGAGTGATGGGAAGTGTGGTTCACAACCTCTGGAGTGGCAATACTTTCTCAGCTCTGCTGCAGGCCCAAAGCACTTTGCAAAGCACAAATCAAAACTAAAAGAAGCAGTGTACAGACACCCAAGCAGAAGGCATATCGTTATCAGCACACCACCAGACACAAGGGTGCCAATGGACAGTCATCATGCTGACATGGCAAGTAGGTCCCACAAAATGTATGCTGAGTTTCCCCTACAGTATCAAGACCAGCTGAATCTTCGCAGCAGTCCTCAAAATGACGCAGGGCTGTTGCAATCATGAATTTAGGTTCAGCCTACGTTGAACCTGCAAACTTATGGATTTCTGACATCTCCATAAGCAGGCTAGCTGTACAGTAGGACCCCCCTATCCATGGGATCATTATCCAGTTTCACTTATTGTGATTTGTCACAGCCTTATACACAACATACAAGGGCATCACCTTGTGGCCTTTGCCCTGACCCTTGTATGTTGTATATAGGGTTTCCTTGTATCTGCAGTTTCAGATATCCATGGTGGATTGTGGAACTGATTTCTCCATGGATATGGGGATCCTGCTGTATACAGAGCTGCTATGATCTGCCTCACAACAGCAGTGATATTAACAGCAGAGGCTTCCATTAATTGGGTCTCAATGGTATACACAGTCCTCCTCTGAAGATGCTTGGCCTTACAGTGTACTTTGAAGGATTCTGGAGACAGGGATCAGCACCCAACTCCTACAGGGACACCTTTACTGAAGTTTGATTTTGTTTATTTGTTTTGCTCACACCAGCATGACTATGATTCTATTTTGTTTGTGTAGTGAAGCTTTAAAAATGTAGTTGAATATTAAGTATACAGTGGATAAGAGCATTCCATGTGATTTCTTTGCTTGCATAACATCTATAATGCCCAAATCAAGCACAAAAATGCAATAAGGCTTTCCAATTGCAAAGCTATTATTGCAAAGAATGTGAACAACATTTTTTTCCTCAGATTAATCTGTATGAACATTAGTTAGATCCAACTTGTTCCAAAAGGCACAACTGCCACATGGATTCCCAGATGAAATATCCTTCCTTGTATATGGCAGGAAATCTGTGTTCCTACTACATGTAAGAATCTGTGCATATCCACACCTGAGTGTCACTGGATGGCTCACATTAGGTTCAGACAGCATCTCTCATTTGTTTGGACAAACAGTAGCACTGGGATTGAACTATCCTCCCTAAACATGGATAAGCACTGTCAAAGCTGCTTGCATGCGAATATAAGTACTATGGAAAGCAGATTTTAGATGCAGCATGATAGCATCTGCCCAGAGCTTGGGCAAATTACTTTCTTGAAATACAAGTCCCCATATCCCTATAAATGGAGAATTCTGGGAACTGCAATCCAAAAAGCAGCTTCTCCAAACTCTGCATCTGTCTCTACAGTGCAAGAACATTTTTCCTCTGTAGACAAAGTCATACCTCGGGGCTTTTGCGATTCTGTAAAATCTGCTTATCTGTTTCTTTAGTAGCAAAGTATCGGGTGCAGCCACGATTCAAGTACTGTAGAAACACAGAAAGACAGCGTGCAATTAAACACCAGAGCTATAGAAGAAATGAATAAAAACACCACACGGTCACCATCAGTCTTATAATACAGTGGAAATATATTATTTGTCCAGAAGTCTCATTTATAATACAGAAAAGTACATCATACACTTAAGTTGAAAAAGAAATAGTATTTTTATATTTAAGTAAAACACACACACACACACACACACACACACACACAAACTATAATGGCTCCCTAAAAAGTAAGATAAGTTGAGAAAACATGTTTTTATGCTAAGTTTGGAAAGTGTATCAGTGTATCAATTAGCCATTGATAAACATTTAATGCAATGTAATGAATAGTGAATAGTACAAATAAATCAGAAGAAATCAAAGAAAAATAAAAATAACCATTAAAAGAATTCTTCCATTACACCTTTATCATGGCTAGGTGCCAACACACTTTCTCAAAAAACTGTAAATGACTATGTATGTCATAAAGCATACAGTGAACTGAAGTGAGTCAACAGATGAATTTCACATGTTCTAAAATTCCATATCAGACCATAGTCTCCTGCATTTGAAATCAGTCTGATGCATCCAAAGTAGATTACAGTCCAGGAAAAACCTATGACAAATAAAGGCTGTTCATTTTTAAGGTTTCACAAGACTTTCTGCCACTTTTGCTTCAAGAATGCCTAGATGCTTTGATTGGATGATTGTATTTTTATGATGCCTTTCTCCAAGCTATGTATTCATCTTACCAGCCTATTTTCTCCCAGGTATGCATTAATCTTACCAGTCTTGTTTAGAAGTTACAATAAAACTAATGTTTATTATAATAGCGGGATGTCTAGCTCTCTGCAGGCTTACAGGCTTCCCTGGTGCAACCCTAAGGAGATTCAATAGCTGCTTAGTATTATGATATATATGTCAGAACTTTAAATTTAATGCTGAAGAATTTTAGGAAAATGTGATTAATCTTGAATATGTTTTTTTGAATCAAAAGAGCTGAACAAATCACGGCTTGAAGTTTGCTTGTGTCAGACAAAGCACAGTTAAGATTAATCACAGGATTGGGAGATTCTGGTAAATGTATAAAATGATTGTGTTGAAAAAAAAATTGAATGAAAGCTTCCAGATTCACCTTACAGTCAAGCTTTACTGGACAGTAAAGTAGTAGGTTTGTTCCTATCACATTTGACCATGACTTATCATAAAATTAAGGCCCTTCCTTTTTATTAGGGGATGCAGAACACCTGATTTACACCAATACTGAATTAATAATATCAAAACTAAATGAGGAGATAAAGGTAAAGGTTCCCCTTGACAATTTGTCCAGTCGTGTTTGACTCTAGGGGGCGGTGCTCATCCCCGTTTCCAAGCTATAGAGCTAGCATTTGTCCAAAGACAATCTTCTGTGGTCACGTGGCCAGCATGACTAGACATCGAACGCCGTTACCGTCCCACCAAGATGGTACCTATTTATCTAGTTGCATTTGCATGCTTTCGAACTGCTAGGTTGGTGGGAGCTGGGACAAGCAACGGGAGCTGATTCCGTCGCGTGGATTCGATCTTACAACTGCAAGTCTTCTGACCTTGCAGCACAGAGGCTTCTGCAGTTTTACCCGCAGCACCACCACGTCCCCTTTAAATGAGGAGACAAGAAAAAAATTAGTGTGTCCCATTTTATTTCTGAAGCACTGAGAGTTTCGGAATTGCTATGGCAGACGTCCCAGTAGTAAAAGGAACCAAAGGATGTATTTTTAGTTCCCACATTGGTCTGAACTGGCCATTTTGGGGAAATGTAAAAGATACATATATCTATGGATACTAAATGGGATAGATTTAGAGCAGTGGTCCCCAACCTTGGGCCTCCAGATGTTCTTGGACTTCCTGGCTAGCAGAGGTGGTGGTGAAGGCTTCTGGGAGTTGTAGTCCAAGGACACCTGGAGGCCCAAGGCTGGGGACGACTGGTTTAGAGGATAGATTTAGCACAATAGAACAAATGGGAGATGTCACTTTTTGGAGGGTATGCTGGGCCTTGTTTTATGGAGCACTGGCCATTACAATTCTGGCATAATTATTTAGATTTTGGTATAAGCAACATGATGTCACTAGAGGCAGTGTTGCCATCTATAAAAGTTCAATGCCCGGGATACAGTAGTTGTTCTTTCCACAAGTATCATGATTAATGTTCCTTTTTTTGGTAATCAATTAGGACCTTTTACTGATGATGCTGGCAAGTGCTTGCAATGTTTTGTTATGAGATTAATAATTTGGATGTATCCTTCTCTGTCTTTTCTTTAGCCTTTATTTTAAACAAACCTTAACTGACTCTCCTGGAATTTCAAATCCCCCTTTTGTTCAGTGGCTAACAGTCCTACTCTCTATTCTACTTAAGAGGAGAATGTTCAAACTTCCTTCCTCGTTTACTGATCCAACACTCGACACAGCCAATGAAGAACAAAGCAGAAGATGTGTGTGGATACTTCACTGTATCTGGATCCCTGAACATTCAGAAAAAAATTTATTGTACAGTTATACCTCTAAATGAATCTTGGACTAAATGTTCCAACTGCTGCATTAGAGTCAATAGGCACAAGTACAGAACAATCTTACATATCCTTACTCTGACAAAGTTCACTGGGAGTTCCTCCCAAGTAGTTCAGGTATGCTTTTTCTGTCTTCAATGCCCACAGATTTGCTGAAATCCTCTTCAGTCTCGCTGGTCATTAAGCTTTTTACAAAGGTTAAGTTTTAAGCATCTTACATTTAGGCAGACCTTATTTTTATGTGTTACACTTGCAAAACATCCCAAGTCTTGAAGGAGAGAGTCTTCTCTCCTCACTACTCTAGTCCACGCGCTTGTAATCTCAAGATTAGACCATTGTAATGCACTCTACGTGGGGCTACCTTTGAGGCTGACGCGGAAACTCCAGATGGTCCAGAATGCGGCAGCCAGGCTTCTTAGTGGGGTGAGAAAACACCAGCATATCTCCCCCACTCTGGCTGCTTTGCACTGGTTGCCCGTCTGTTTCCGCGTTGACTTCAAAGTGTTAATGATTACATATAAAGCCCTAAACGGTTTGGGACCTCAATACCTGGCAGATCGTCTTCTCCCACCCAGAACTACCCGAATCACCCGACACAGCCAGCAGGACGGCTGAGGGGTCTGATGCCGAGGGAAGCCCGGAAGGAAAAAACAAGAAATCGGGCCTTCTCGGCGGTGGCCCCTTGGCTGTGGAATACCCTCCCCACTGAAATTCGGCTGGCACCCTTGCTGGGCATTTTCTGCTTTGAATGTGTTTTTAGTACTGCTTTTGTTTAACCATTTCTCAAAATGGTATTTGTTTTTTCCCTTTTAATATTTGTACACTTACTGTTTTTAGCTTCAAAGAGTGTCTTTTAATTATGCCTTGAGTCCTTTTTAAGGAGAAAGGCAGAGTAAAAATATTTTAAATAAACAAATTGGTGAAAGGTTTAAAAACTAGGACAAAACAATACACTGATTTGCATGAAAAGTTCTGGATCGATAAAATTATATTATAAGATAATGAAACCACCTTCAAACACTTGCATCTCAGAACCATGTGTCTTGGTATAACTATAAAGCCCAGTATTGTAGGACAGGATCAAGGCAAAGTCATACTCAAAGGAGGACCTCTCAAAGTCCGTCATAAGAACTATGTCAATGGGTCTATTCTAAGTGTGATGATATCTGGACCAAACAGATGATAGGTATCTGAGGAGAAGGATAGTGAGGAAGAGGTATCAACTCACCCTAAAAGTATCTGGTGAACTTAAATACAGCTTCTGCCTTATATCTTCAGGAGCCCCAGCGCACAGCCTATAGAAGATATGGTAGTTCCTTTCTTCTTTGCCTTGAACACAGATCCTTGATTTCTCCAGCAGATAATGTGACACAAATCCACCAACTACTGAATTCTAGAACGAGAACCAAAGTTGTTTTTTTGAAAGAGGAAAACTTTGCATCGACAGATAGAATTATGTATTCGTTTCACTCATTTTGGTCTTTTCCTACAAGCTTTTGCAGCAGAAAGAATGAAAGAAGCCAGAAAATATATATATTGTTATAGAGCAGTATCTCAAATACAAGTTTATAAAAATGGAAAATACACTTCACTATGGAATTTAGCCAAAAACTACAACTTGGCTAAAAAATATTGTCACACATACACTGTTAGCCTCTGTAAATGAAATTCCTTAGCTTTTACAAAGCTAAAGCTCCATATCTTACACACTTACTAGGGAGTGAGTTCCACCAAATACAGCAAGAGTACTGTAGGTTTTTGAGCAACCATGCCTAAGATTGTGCATAACAAGGCTGATCAGACAAATAAGCCCGTTATCTGATACAGGAGTAAAGAAACCTTGGCTTTCCAGATATCTTGACCTACAAATTTCTACAGTGCCCCCTTTGAGAGCGGTAGCCCGCGCAATGGGCCAAAGGCTTCACATCTTATCTAGCTGAAATATTTCTGTTCCTAATGGAAACAGCTTTAAAACAGAACAGCAGAAATAGGAATGATATAGACAATTTCGTATGTGCATGTCACTTGCTATGCATTTTCTTTTACGTTTTAAAATGTGCATGCCCAACTAGTTAAACAAAATAGAAAAGACAGAAACTAAACACCTGTAGTACAAAGGATATGGATGTTCTTTTCCATCTTGCACTATACAGTATAAACATATCAGGGTTTTTTACCCATACATCTAGATATGAAAACACCAAAAACTATTTCCAGAAAAGCACGCTGGCTTTACGTTATCTGATGGCATACATGTACATGAAGATTTTGTCAAGTACAGAATCAACTGCTGGATATCTCAGTGGTTTAGGCATCTGGCTATGGAGCCAGAGGTTAGGAGTTGGATTCTCCACTGTGCTTTCTTGACGGGGTCTCGACTCGATGATCCATAAGGTGCCTACCAAATAGGCATTTCAAAGATTCTTATAATCCAAATGCAGAAAAAGGATGGCCAAGTTGTCCTACCAAACCAAAAAACCCTGGACCTTCCAAGTGGTTGCGGTATGTAAGGTAAAGGCAAACAGAAAGTAAATATTGGCAATCTAAGGTAGCCATTTCTTTCCGAAGTCCACTTCCAGAAATAAAAAGGACTTTCTTGCACGTCAACCGTACCTGCAAGAAACTAACGATACCTTTTCATTGAAATGGATTTCTACGAATTTCCCAAAGCGACTGCTGTTGTTGTTACGAACAGTCTTCGCGTTGCCAAACGCTTCCAGAAGTGGATTTGCTGTTAACAAGAAAGGGAAACCAGCTTAGTAAGAAATGTATTAAGTAGAAAGAAAGAGGGGGAAATATACTGTTTATTATTCATACTACGGAGAAATGAAGGAAGAGGGCTGAATCCAAAATTCACCTCCCACAAACAGAACAGCCCCTTATGTGGAAAGCTGCAAAATCAGCACAGCTATTTTACTAGCAGAACTGTGATGGTGGTGGCAGCTATTTTGGTTATTTGCTCTTTCCCTCACAGTTCCCTATGCTTTCTGAATAAGCGTTCTGCAAGATGGGGATTCATCCAGAACAGTTTGGAAAGTAGTGATGGGAGACTGCAGAAGCAGGGGGAATTGGTGGAAACCACCTAACCCCTTTTCCTGCCAACTGGGGTACACTGTGAACACAAAATATTTAACTGTGTTACTTTTGCAAGCCATCTGAAAAAACATTACGTTTTTATTATTACAGGACAATATAGGCCGACGTACAAGTCAGCGAACAACTTGTTCCCACCTATTCCTGGGAAAATGTGGGAATGTGCTGTGTGTTTTCAAACACCAAATGGATCTTCCCTTTGAAATCTAAAGAATTTAGACAGTAGTGTGTATTGAGCAATTAAGACCTAATGATTTATTGAGTGGCAATTTAAAAAACAAAAACATGTGTACAGCAAATTAATTTGCTGGATTCTGGCCATAGTTCCCTCAGGAATTTTTCCAACATTAAATAAAAGATTCCTGCATATATATAAAAATAATACTAAACAGCTGTCAAAAAAACCTCAATGAATATTTGCCTAATAAAACTTACCAAGACTGAATTTATTACAAACGCATTGCATCAGCCTTCTCTCTCCAGTTAGGTCCATATGTGTTAAAAAGTCAACTCAATACAGCTAGCAATAATGGGAAAGATAGTCCAATTTATCTAGAAAGTGCCAGGTTGAGGTTGGTGATATTAAATTAACGTTGTTTGAATTGATACAGAAATCAAGACTAGCAGGTTTTATCCATTTCCTCTTGTTTTATACAAATATATGAACCAAAAACTAAACTCTCTCTCTCCCCTGACCTCTAAATAACTAATTCAAACCAATACCTATGGAAAAAAGCAACAGAACCTTTCCTCTAGTCTGACTGTTCAATCAGGCAACACACCAGTGATCAGTATCAAATCTGCTAAAAAAAGCTAGCTTTGGCAAGGAATTAAAAAATCACCAACCTACTAATCTGCTTAATATAACTGCCAATACATACCCAAACACATCCAGTTCTGCCCTTGCTTCAGAATGGAATGCAGAAACATTGCTAATGGCCCTGCCCACTCCAGATCCAAATAACTAACAGAGGGGGAAAAGGAGATACTGTACTAGCTTTCACATCACTGATCAGCAACAACCATGTTTTTAAGTGACCATGCCCCAAATAATCACCAAGATGCACATCATCATATGCCCTTGCACTTTCCCAATAGGTGAGAGGTATTCCATGCAGTGTGTAAATAGCATGTGGGCATGTGAACAGGACAAGCAGAAAATGGTGCCATTAGCACAGAACAAAGCTGCCAGACCACAGTATACCTAGTCCACAGTAAGAATGCAATAAATATGCATTTTTTTACATCCAGACACTTCATTGAAAAAATGGTCAGCTGGTGTGAGGCTTTTCACTAATGAACAAGAACAAAAAGAATAGCAGTGGGGCAAGAGATGTCTTCAGCAGCATTATTTATGTCTTTGCACACACCCCAAAAAAACCTTTTGCGAAAAAATGCATTTAAAAGTTTTTTAATGAAAATATGTTCGTAATTTTTGTTTTAAATAGTCCCCCCAAAATTTCTGTTCTCAGTTGAGAGAACGAAATTAGCAAAATTTTACATCCTTTGGCCTCCCAATTCCGCTTCCAAAACCAGAAATTTCTGTAAACAGGCAATAGGGGCCTACAGATATTCCAATATCAGGCACTGATCACAGAGCTTTAGACAGAGTTTTATGTTTTGCCTCCACAAAGATTTTATTTAGTCGTGCTTCTTAAACCAAAAATCCCAGTTTATTTACATTCAATACTAGCCTTTAGCTCAAAAGAAGACCGATTAAATTCAGCTGCAACCATGCTCCAGGAACTCGAGAAAAACAGAAAGGAACAGAACACCACAATAAACTAGAAGAGGAGACAGGATTAGAAAGAGTGGGTGTTTATGTTTAAAAAACATTACAGAACTTGAATACCGAGGAAGATGGTAAGTATTCTCAATAAACTTCTCAGCTTTCTTTTGTTGTATCTATACTATGCCACTGAAAATAATTTCCTTTGGTAGATGACCATTCACAACATCCAATTTTTCTGGACAATGTACAAAGGTATCACAACAAAGACACAACGCTTACAAGTAGTTCAAGTGCAAGGATGTTTTGCTTTTATTTTTTTTAAAAGGCAGATTATAAAAAACAGCTTTGCAAGTAAGTCCTTTTGCTGTAACAATGCCGCCACATGCATGTTAAGATGTGCTTAACAACTGCAGGAAGAAAACAAATGCCAGTGCAAATGTGTAGCAGTAGCTGTCCCAAATGAGACATTTCTTTCAAAGTTTTCTCTGCCAAGCCAAAAAATACCTACAAGTACCAGAGTTAGGGAACGCAGCTTCAGACATTGTGTCCAGCTGTCAGCCACTTTCTTAGATGCCATGGATACGGAATATTTAAATATTCAGCTGTAATGAAGCAACATCAGGCTCAGTTATTTTATTACCTGCTTATAACGGAGCACTGTTCTATATTTGACACAGGCTATAAAACTCATAAAGTAACAGGAGGAATGCTCAGGCAAGCCTGACATCCAGTGGTCAAAAGGCAGTGTGCCAGTTTATCAGGGCACACAAAGAAGGACTTGCACACCTTCCTCCACCCCTCCATTTTTCTCCCGACCCTGACAAGAGAGTTTTACCAACAGCCAGTGCAATGCCGGATTAGAACCCAAGTAGCCCAGGTCTAAGTTGCCAGGAACCACGAAGTTCACCAGGTGACATACAGCCAGTTACTTAGACTGATCCACTTCATATTGATACTGTGAAGATAAATTGGCGGCAGTGGAGGGGGGGGAGAGTTTCATGTACAAGGAACCTCGTGGCGCAGTGGTTAAACCATTGTACTGCACCCAAAACTGTGCTCACGACCTGGGGTTCAATCCCAGGTAGCTGGCGCAAGGTTGACTCAGCCTTCTATTCTTCCGAGGCTGGTAAAATGAGTACCCAGCTCGCTGGGGGGGGGGCAATGTGTAGCCTGTATAATTAACTTGTAAACCGCCCAGAGAGTGCTTGAAGTGCTATGGGGCAGTATATAAGCAGCACACTTTGCTTTTTTGCTTTACAAGTGGGGCTAATGAGACGGAAGCCGTGTTCCGCTTTCTAAAGGAATAGTAGAATATAAAAGTAGCACATAATCGCTGAGCTGAACATGAATATGCTCCCCCTGAGCCTGCCAAAAGAGAATACAATCAACAATGAAAAGGTGAAGGAACTGTGGTACAGGGAACAGGCATATGTGAGCCTTGGCTTTCCCTTCCCGGGAATGTAATTTCTTTTAAAGCTCTGAAACCGGAAACAAATTAGGCCAAATTACTAGAATTCTCTTATACTGTACTCTGTAAGGCATCCATCACAGAAACAGTGATGTTTGTGTATGTAGTTCTGGGCAAGCTGCACAGTCCCAGGGTGTCCCAGAAGAAGAGAATGGTAAATAATTTCTGAGTATTCTCTCCTTAGAAAACCCTGAAAGGGGCTGCCATAAGTCAGCATTGACTTGACAGCAAGCAATTATTATTACATGAAGTATATTCTTTGATATTACAGGAATCTTGAACCTGTTATGTCACATATTGAAAGAACATGAAAGCTATCGGCACTGGTAGTATCTCAGTAACATAAATGGGCACCATCCAGTAGTATATTTTCTAGCAGCCATCCTCCCAAATGAATTAATGAACACAACATCACCGCATTTCAACAGCACTTTCACGCATCCAATTTCTAGTGCATGATGCCCATAATATCCATATACCCAGATACTTTTTTAAAAGATGTATGCAAAATAAATCAGCATTAGATATAAGAAATAGTACCTTCAACAATTCTGTCATCAATATCTTGCCCACTGCCATAAGATTCAGTCAAATACCTTTAAGAGACCAGAAAATAATAATCACTTGTACACTTTAAGCATTTTTTGTTTAGAAAATATACTGAAGATTTCCCCACCATAATCATAGGCTGTGCCTGAAGTTTGTGTCAGAAGAAGCTCACATGTTCTTATAAGCTTTCCCCACCACCACTACAGTCTCTTCTGAGGGTCAAGGGGTTCTCAAGAAAAGCCTGGACACCACACAGTGAAAGGGAAAAGGAGAGAAAAATCAGGTATACTGGAGATGAGACAACAGACTGAAGCAGGTTTGTTTAAGAGGCGCTGAAACAAGAGGCACACACAGTTCTCACCATCAACACAGAAGCAACATCCGGGTGGCTGTTGAGCATCTGTTACCTGAGGCAACGGCTTCCCTTTGCTGAATGGCAGGGCCAGCACTGTTTATTCACAAAACTGGAAATTTTATATTGGAAGCTCTGCCAATGCAAAACAGGAAGCTATGCCAATATTGTATGGTACTTCCTAAGGGTTCTTTGATGAGCAGAAGTTTGGGCAGCCTTCCACTTCCATAACTTCTTGTATATAGCTCAATATATGGAAGATCAGATTATTTAAGGTTTACGAAGGCCTTTTCTCCAAAATGTTCTCTGTTAATGTCTGAGAATTAGAAACTGTTCAGTCCTCAAGAAACAAAAAATGTTTGAGAAAATAAGCTTGTAATTGAGAATGAGGAAAGGAAATGACAACTCTTTGGTGAAGTGGATGGAGATGGGCCCATCATATTTCTCAACCTCTCCGATCTCACACGGCCATCTTGAGCATGAAACAAAATACAATAAATGTGTGTGTGCTTTCACAATGAGAATATCAATATGCACGGTCACAGAGTTTTCTATAAAAGAAACCAGAAAAAGGCTCTGGACATTTGAAGCTCCATAATGGAGCCTCCTCAGAATTTTTACTTATGCTACCTGTGATTCCCATCTCATCAATATTTTCCTTGGTTTTGATTGCAAACAGTATGATGTTTACTGAAGAAAGATGAAAATACCTAGGAAGCAATGTTTTATTCAAAGAAATTGTTTTCAACGGTAGATACAAACCGTAAAACAAATTTAGTGTTTTCTGTCTTGCCAGCTCCCGACTCTCCAGACACAATGATCGACTGGCTCATCTTCAGGACTTTCATGTCACGAAATGCTTTATCAGCTGAAGTAAACATTTAAGAGGATATTAGCATAGATACGTAACAGCACACAGATCAGTATCTTCATTAGCCCTTTGAATACTATGAAATACTTCTTTGTAAACATTGTTAGAAGCAATGGAATCAAAATGTTTCCCATTAAATTATTCAGCTCTACACTATCTACTACCTGAAGATTAAGTGCACAGCAACAAGCTATGCCATCCTGGTCCAAAATTAAGATTTTATTGTATTTGCAGTGTCAGCCAAAGGCATGTTGTCTCCTCCAAAATTTGACATAGAGAAGCTGACTAGACAGACTAACAATTACATTTTACTTCAGTACTGGTGATGGGAAAACAGATTCCTTCATACTTAAGTCGAGCAAGCCAGTTTAAGGGGTGCTGGGTAGACCAAAAGGAACACACAGTTCTCATCACCAACACAGGAGCAACATCCAGGTGGCTGCCGAGCATCTATTACCTGAGGCAAGGGCCTCCCTCTCCCAAACGGCAGGGCCTGCCCTGTTTATTTGTTTCAAACATTTATATCCCTTCTTTCTACAACATAATCTACAAGGGAGCTAACAACTCAAAAGAGAAAGAGATACCAGGCACATGAAAGTACCCTTTCCCAATCTAATGCCAGCCATGTTTTGGCCTACACCTCCAAGAAACCCACCAGGACATTGGGGGAAGAAAGCATTGAAATGACTCAATCCAAATAAATCACACCAAACAGGTTACAAATAAAGCAGGAAAGACCTCTTTAAGTTTGGAAGTCCTAACGGGAAATCAAAACAAAGGCATAAGCAGTGTTCGGCAAATGTGTTTTAAGAAGTCATTTCACAACATCTGGGTTGTTCCTGGAAAAAAAAATCTGATTCCCAAGTCATATCTGATCCACCTGATGTCTGACAGTGGAAATGCAATGAGCAGAGTCTGAGATGATGCTGTCAATAAAGGGGCAACCATTTAGGGCTTTGCTTTCACCCTCACAGCTTGCTTGGCTGGCTGAGACACGGCATTTCAGTTACCCAATCTCACCTCAACTGGACTTCAGTTTTAGTCATTATGTCCATTACTGACTGCTGTTTAGGACATCTACTTGTGTTCTGTCGGGCATCTACTTCATCTTTATGGGATAAATGCCTAGCTATCTTTTTTCAAAGTAAAAAAAAAGCAGTATCCTATGTAAAATTAAACTTCCAGTATTAAATGACAAACACGCATAATCTGAGACTGAGGTAAAATGGTACATGCCTTACCAATTGCATAGACATGTGGAGGCAGTGTCCCAAGCGATCTACCCTGGTACTTTTTTATAGCATCAGATGAATAGAGTTTAGGTATATCAAAGTAAGGGTTCACAGCTATCAAGATGTTGGCTACATAGGTCTGCAAAGAAAGAAAAGCCATCACAAACTTGTCAAAAACACAGGCTGGAAACATTTCTATTGAAAAATTCCAGGGGCCTAACAAAGACACAACTTTGAAGCTGAATTGTAAGATTGCTAAGGCCAATCTCCGTGAAATCAGAAGCATGGAGTTTAAACCTCCTGGAATTTAGAACTAAATTTACTTCAAGTTTTCAACTTATTATAAAACTAAGTTAAAGGTTATTTAGTGCTTTTATTTGCTGTGTTTTATTAATGGTTGGGTTTAAGTTACACTGTAATTCACCACAGGATAAACAGTGTGTAGGGTGGCATGTAAACACCATCGATAAATAAACCATAAGCAAACTATAATCCAAGGCATATTTATGTGTGTTTATGAGGTGAATTTGTTAACAAATATGTAATTTGCAGCTAAGAAACACTCCCCAAATTGTGCAAATCTACCCTCAACTTTTTTTTTCAAATCGAACACATACCAGCCGTCTGATGCAGGCAAACATGGCAGTAGGGTTGTGGGGTGTGGGGTGAGAACTGTTTTTAATATAAATCTAGATCCATTTCTGGCATTCCTTGCACAAGTTGCTTTCTTCTATTTCACAGCTGTCATTTGCCAGAGCAGATGGCAAGGACTCAGTATTATTTAGTCAGAATCCATTACATAGTCAAGCAATCTGATAACCGCATAAAAGATTAAAGTAGTCATTTGAGCCAGGAGGTGTCACAGGAGGATTGTGCCTGTTTCGTTTAAAAAAAAACACATCTGCTTTTACCTCACCTTACAGTTTAAAGCAGCTGCCTGAAAACTTCAGCACTAGTGATGTAAGCAACACAGAAAACATCTTACACCCACACAGTTTGAATATGTATATGTTCATTAAAATTCCGAAGTCGTCTGCCTATGCCATAGTCCTACAGCTCGCCTGTTTCTTAATAAACTGGTCAATGTGTGGGTGGCTGGGGCAAAATTCGTCGTTTTCATACAGACCACAATGAAACACAGGTACTTACATAAATTCTGTCCTTACTGTATCGAACCTTTATATTGTGTAAGAGTGTGGCTTCATTTAAATACATGAGAGAACCTGCAATGAAAACAGAGCACCAGTGTATGTTCACAAAACAGACGTTCCAGTTTTATCACCAGCTTCATTTCTAAGTACCGTAGTTCATAAACATACAACTAACACAGAGGCTGAGTGTAAGGCGTTGCCTGTAATTAATATATTTTCTCGAAATGAAGGTATAACTATATTGGAGCTGTAACCTGATGGGCAAAATCCTGTTCCCATAACTTTATGCCCGCGTAAAACTGATCATGGTGCTGGAAATAATTAATTTTAATTAATTAAATAGTTCCTATTCCTGCCACCATCACTCCATTTCAGTTTCTGAGGCTTCGTAGGACCCATTTTTTGCCCTAAAAGTAGACTTTGGGAGTCTTGGGATATGCAGGAGTGGGATCTTTTAATTTAATTAATTAAATAGTTCCTATTCCTGCCTCCATCAATCAATTTCAGTTTCTGAGGCTTCGTAGGACCCTTTTTTTTTTTTTTGCCCTAAAAGTAGACTTTGGGAGTCTTGGGATATGCAGGAGTGGGATCTTTTAATACTCAATAATCGCTGCTGAACCCCCACCAGTGGTTCTAATCAGTTTCTGAGGCTTCGTAGGACCCTTTTTTTTTTTTTTGCCCTAAAAGTAGACTTTGGGAGTCTTGGAATATGCAGGAGTGGGATCTTTTAATACTCAATAATCACTGCTGAACTCCCACCAGGGTTTTTTATTTTTTTATTTTTAAAAGCTCCCCACCCAATGTCCTGAATCCAAAAGCATCCCCTAGAGCAAAAGAGAGCCCAAGGGAGCCTCGGAAGCTGAAATGGGGGATAAGAAGCTTTAAACTGATGGAAATTAATTATTCCCAGCACCCGATTGGGTTTAAACTGGCAGAACAATACCAACAGGATTTTGCCCAATGACAGGTAGCTTGACTCTTTTCGCAGCGTTTCTGTAATATGATGTTACGTTTATAGTCGCAGGGGCAATGTCATTACAAAGTGGAACAGTGGCATTATAAAGGGCTCTGTTAATTGTCCTTAAGACCAAAGCGTCATTACTTGACATGAATACAGAATAATTATCTCAGCAACGTCTCTTTCATTAAAAGAACCGTCAAACAAGTTCAGAAAAAAATATGTGACACCCATGCAGAATAAGATATTTTTCATTCCTTTTCCATACTTGAGCGATGCTTATTAAACATCTAAGTAAGCCACCAGGTTAATGTGCCTGTAATTAGCAACAAAATCTTCATCACTGCATTTTAGCAATCTCATGACTGAAACAGAAATTATACTTCACATAAAAATCTGTGTTTCTCTGGAAAAATACAACAAAATAAACTGAACATATTGGACTTGTTCACATCATCCTTCCAGCTGCATAAAAGATGGGGCGGGAATCTTGGTATCAACATCCTAGTGTGTCTGTCAAGCAGTGTCTGGATTGCAGAGGAAGTGAGATCCTGCATTCAAAAACATGCAGTTCTTTCCATACAAGTAGAATGTGTTGTTTGCCCTGGGCTTGTTCCTGACCTCCATACAGCTCTCAACAGGTCTCTCACAAGAGTTGGAGATATAATACCAGCCGTTATTACTGTTTGCTCTCCCAAGACAGATTCTAAACTTTTCACTTACAGTTATCCTCCACATCTTTCTTACTATCTTCCTCTGCAGGAAACACTTGGTTGATAGCAGCAAGAAACGTCTGTCCAAAAAAAGAGAGAGAAAAAAATGGAATATAACTTTAGGTTCACCTACAAATTGAAAATGTATGTGTTTTACAAGCAAAATCCTTATTGCATGTCAGCAGGGAGAAACGATTCAGTCATACTCAGACATGTTTTCTTGAAAGGTTATTAAACATTTATATACACTTCCATAAAGTTTCATTCAGCTCCACTTAAGTCTTAAAAAAAATAATTGGAGATTATCATATGCGGTCAACATAATGTAGGAAATGGTATGTTTGTGTGTCTGTGCCTGTATATATATACCAAAATACAGGTAAGAAGTGGGTAGGTCTGTAAGTGCACACAGACGCACTCTTTTTATGACTCGGAACTGTTTTAAACTTATTATTTCAGTCTGAACCTATCTTAAAAAACGAAATTTGTTCCTAATGACTCAATACAGTGGGGTCTCTGCTTAAGAACGTCCCTACTTAAGAACAATCCAACTTAAGAACAGCTCCATTTGCTAAATTTTGCTTCTACTTGAGAACAGAAATCCAAGATAAGAACAGGAAAAAAAACCTTTCCTGCTCTTTTTTTAACCTTAGGTCATCTTAGGTTAAAAAAAAATCTCCCCCTAGTGGTAGAGTACGTATTAACCAGCTTTGCATTAGTTCCTATGGGAACTAATGCTTCAATGTACGAACGCACCTCTACATAACAAAAAAACAGCCAGAACGGATTAATTGGTTTTCAGTCCATTCCTATGGGAAATTTTGCTTCAGCTTAAGAACATTTCAACTTAAGAACACCATTCCAAAACGGATTAAGTTCTTAAGTAGAGGTTCCACTGTAGTTTCTATGGACGGAAAAGAGCATATACGGATTAAATGGTTTTCAATGCATGCCTATGGGAAATGCAGATTCAACATAAGAACTTTTCAACTTGAGAACCACCTTCCAATACGGATTAAGTTCTTAAGTAGAGACCCCACTGTACAAATCTTTCCAAATGTGTATTTTGGGACTCAATTTGTTCTTACACTCATTCCAAATGTTAAAATATACCTCCTTAAGGGATCTTCTGTTTTCAGTTATTTTCTCTTACTGATTTTTGCTCACAACATAAAACCTTCAAAGCACTTTAAGGTCTTACCTCTCATTTAATGTACCTGAGCTCTCCATGTAATGCATAACATGAAATTAACAGAATAGTTATTTATGCCTTTCTCCTGATGAGGGGACTCAGGGCAACTCACAGTATTAAAACAAGTAAAATTAAAATGAGAGTGTCAACCTTTTCCATCAATCTGCAATTCCTTTCAAAATGTATTTCAAATGTAGAGAAACGGCTAGTGCAATCCTGATAGAAGAGGTTCAGGATTCTTGTCCTTACCTTATTTATGAGGTGACTGCAGCGTGTGTGTGTAGGGGGGTGTTTCATTCTACACTCTTCTCTGCAGCAGCCAACACCCTCCCACCTTCCCAAACATAAATTAAAACCCACGATATCATGAAGAAGTTCTTTCCACAGGGTTCACTTCAGAACAAGAACTGTGGGCAGCCAGGGAAGCTGCACAGTGAATGAGATGTTTCATAGAAAGAAAAATTTAATGCAGCATCCTCAACTACCCTGCAACTTTATAGAAAGCTCAAATATATAACCAGAAGAAATTCTAAAGGCCTTAAAAGTGACACAGAAATATACAAGGGTGGTGTATGTTTCAAAATGTGACAGAAAAGCGAAGCTCCTTTCCTGGGGAAAAAACCTGGGGGAAATTGGAGGACAGCATTAAGGACACAGCAGTAGCTTCATTTTCCCCCTAGAGCTCAACAAAACCCTCTCCTCCTCTATACCTCTACAGGAAATGGAACCCTTACAAACCGTATTAGAAGCATCTGCAGGACCAACAACGTGTATCTACAATAATCTCTCTAGAATGTACTATTTGGGAGGCACATGGAAAGTGGTGAATTCCAAAAGATGACAAGTGCTGAGCCACAATTTCCCAGGAAAAAAAAAATTACCTGGCATTTACTTTTGCTTCCTCCTCCAGAAACAGAAGGTCATTTTGCAGAATTATTTTCAAAATGGACCCACCACTTTTTCCAGTGGCCTCCTCCCTGTCGGCACCACAATGTCCTAGAACAGCGGTTCCCAATCTTGGGTAACACAGGTGTTCTTGGACAGCAACTTCCAGAAACCCCAGCCAGCACAGCTGGTAGTGAAGGCTTCTGGAAACTGAAGTCTAAAAACACCCAAGTTCTCTAAAGCTGGGAACCGCTATCCTAGAATATCACTAGGCAGATGCAGAGGAAGCCAAATGGTGTCCAGATTGACAACACAGATGCTATTGCACTTTGTGGGATTGGGGTGGGGAAACAGAATACAGTTGTGCTGTGCCTCTTCTAATAATGAGCTAATATCTGAGAAACTGTTGGATAATTTCTCCTAGTGTATTTGATTTATTCTTTTCAACTGATGCGAACAATGTGGTTTTGAGCCATTTATTCCTTCATGATTTTATACTGCATAATTTATCTCTATAATGATAACACCGAATGGGACCAAAGGAACTCCATCATCTGCAGGTTCCATCCAGACTTCTCTCTTATCGAAAGGGACACAATGAACACCCAATGGACAGAACTGGAAATACTAAAAGGAGCCTTGTAACCTGCTCCAGTAGAATGGAAAATCCTATGGAGAAGATGGGGGCTCAGGAGATGCAGGAAGGGGAACAAAGGGCAGCTGCTTGTGCATCACAGGTGGTCATTCGTAGAAGTTAACAACTCTGCTCTACAGATTGGGAAAAAGACAGAAAGCCTTTTGTGTTGGCACCTTGTGCTGGCTGACATCAGATCTTCTGCCACCACTGGATGTGCTGGCACAGTTGCCTTGCTGGCTGACGTTAGAGTGCACAAGAGCCAAAAAAAGGGTCGGAAGGGTGAGGAGCAAGAAAGGAGCTAAGTTACACCATACATCTGAACCCCTCTCAGCCAAGACTCACACGCATTATGTCTGCATATAGTTAGGCCAAGCTTGGGATAATTCCAAATAATTTACAGCATCCTGAGGCCAGGGTGAGTTTAGATTCAGTAGAGCCTCAGCTCAGCCAGCCTTCAGCCCTCTTGGCTAGTTCAGGCTGCACAGGAAGGATGCAATCAAACAGCTGGAGAAGTGCATGTGGATCACACCAGAAAGGGAGCATTAACAGGAGCAATTTCCTTGAAAGGGATCCTTCTGTCTGCCAGGGAAGCGCTCCAGCACAGCCTCCAAAAGGAGAAATCCTACAGCTGGATCAAAAAAGTCCAGCTTGGGCAAGGACTGGTGTTGGGCTGGAGCGCATTTCCCCATGCGTTGTGTAATAACCAGAAAACAAACGGCACCAGGTCACTCCACAAGCAGCCCGACAATGTTATCTATTTCCCTGTGTGACCACACCCTAAGCCTAGAGGGAACTCCTAACTCCAAAACTTTTATTTCTTCACTAAGAAGTAAAGTGACACATTTGGAACAAATTGAAATATATGGAATATTTATTTTCACATCAAATTTAAACTTAATTTTGCTCCTTTAGTAACATAAAATCCTTCATTCATCGCTTAGTCAGCATCCAAATTGTACCACTTGTAATATTTATGAAGCCTCCATTTCATGCAAGCAAGATGGTGAACATAGTCTGTACGGCAGAGAGAGAAATGCAAACTCATGCAGCCGAATCTCATGTATCTTGGTTCTCACCATCAGAGAAATAGGTAAAAATGAAAACAAAAACCATGAAGTTAGTAAGAAAGAAAACAAAGTGTACTATTTGGATAGAAATCGTCTTGCTTCTACTGTGAGTTGTCTCCTCAAAATCTGAACAGAGGTGACCAGGAGATGGCAAGCAGCAACCTACAATCTACATTCCTCTCATGCAGAAATGAATCTTCGATTTAAGCATTGTACAGATCTATAGTAGTAACAGTAATTACCATTCTCTAACTCTACACAAAGTTGGCTGGATAGGTCAGTGAGAGGTTGAGAGTTCAATTCCCCACTGTGCCTCCTGGTACTAGAGCCAGCCTGTTTGGTCTTGGGCAAGCTGCACAGTCTCAGGGTGTCCCCAAAAGAAGGGAATGGTAAACTGCTTCTGAATACTCTACCTGAAAAACCCTGAAAAGAATCACCATGAGTCAGAATTGACTTGCCAGCACATACTTAATTTAATTCTGCAGATAGTTCTACGTACAGTACATACATATCTTCAAACTACACACGAAATTCCTGCCTTTTGGAGTGAATCAAACCTTGACATTAAAAGCATTTCACTCATTCAAGATGAAAATATTGAAAGGTTTATTTTCTATACAGTATTTCCCAACATTTCCTATTTCTCTATTGGAAAATTTGAAATTTTGTCCTGGGGTGGGAAATGGGTGGGTGAATGTCTATATATCCCTATTCTTAAGAAGCTGGAACCATCATGGCCAAATTTCCAATAAATATGGCAAATAAAGCCGACAAAGAAGTGCAGCTCTGTCATGTTCCTCTTTTTAAAAATCAAATCTCAATCTGATCAAGATCTTTCTTAAAATTACTTCCTGTTGGTTCAACTGCAACAACAGGATCTTGCCCATTAGGGGTTGGGCTCAACTGACAATAGCCTTTCTCCATTCATAAGTCATGCAAATAACTCAGGATGGGGACAGAGAGGAGATGAACATGGCTTGGCCTCATCTCCTGCTGGCTGGAGAAGAGAGACAGAAATCTAGTGAGACTTTTGCTACTTTAGTCTATCTTCAGCCCGAAAGCAAAGTGAGAAGAAGGTCTGGCCTTGGACAGAAATCAGACAAGGAGGTGGTAGCAGGAGAAAGATCAGAGTGATTAAAAATCAATGCACAACTTTTAATAGTAGTAACTGCATGTCGACAAGTCAATTCTGACTTATGGCTATCCTTTTTCAAGGTTGCCCAAGGTCACACAGGCTGGCTCTTCCCCTAGGAGGCTCAGTGTGACATTGAACTCCCAACGCATGACTCCTCAGCCAGA